ACCTCAAAGAGGTTCGTGAAGCAAGAAGCTCATTCAGCTCTTTCGACAGTACAAATTCTGCATGCACATTATCTTATGGTCAGATTCGAGGCTTTTAACTTCCTATCATAGTGTGTCGTACTTGACACCTCTTCGGAATTATGTCTGATATCGCAGACCGAGGGGTCAAGGTAAGCCTTTCTCGATCCCATTCTAAACGCACTCTTCAAAGTCACTCCAGACAAACCGCACAGTAAAGGCGTCGGTCTATCCATCTATCCACCATAATGTTACCACCCATACCTAGTATTTTCACATATTGTACGTCTGCTCATCCGAAAGAAGGTGTCAACAGCTCGCAGCCGACACACCATGACTCCATCACCTGACTTGACATGCGGACCTTATGAATCTTGGCTACCCCTCGTCATGGGGTTGACCTTGGTCCCGTCACTTGTCTCACTCCCACTCACCAAATGTCACCACAACCACACCCACTTCCTTCCCACAATCGCCTCTTATCCGCAATGGTGTGCGCTAAAGGTGATAACGAAGACAACCGTGAGGCCGGCATTAGACTCAGAAGACACGACCACGAGGTCCATCCCGCTCCATTAGATTCCCGAAAGATGGTGTAATGACATTGTGAACTGCGACGAATTCAAAGCATGAGGCCGGCCAAATGCTCCAGCAAGCACGGTATCAATCGCTTTACTACGTACTAGTGGTGACTTTCGATCCAGGAAGTCAGTCATTGAGCCCGATTGACTAATTGTAGCTTATGATTGACAGTGACGGGATGTTTCATCGACAACAAGGCACCCAATTGAGGCCATGGCGGCCCTGGGATTGCTTCGTGCTGTAGTCATTGGTCACTGGCCCGCTCGCCATGTTTCCTTTATCGCCTCTCGGGCGTATCCTAGGGCTGATTGAGCGGGTACATCGACCATTCATGGCTATCTGTCTGCCTGTGTGAAGGGTTCTCGCTACCCCAAGAGAGTCTTACGCCCACCCTCCTCACCTCATTGCAGTACACGGTACGTACCTCGAGTACCTCGTGTGCATAACACCTTTCTCTGATATGGTGACAGTGACTTGTTGACCTATGTGTATCAATTAGTATGGATATCCCACAAACGGGAAGCAGATAAGGAGTCGCAACAGCCCAGCCATGGACTCTTGTGGCCTATGGCTTGGCCTATGGCTGCTGGAGCAGGTTCCCAAGAGCCCCAATGATCCGGCTCACGCAACACTAACGACAACGTGTGTAGGCTACATTTGCTCCCTTCGGTTCCTTTCGACGCAGTCGCCGGTTTCATGACAATATTCTTTGTCAATCACTGGAAAGTACACAGTGGTTCGTGAGCCCGCCATGGTAAGTACATATATAACATGGGTACCTGAATATGTTTATGGCACTTGGATAAGGATGCAGATGTCTCGTTCGGAATCACTACGCCATGACTGACCGGGATGAGGACACATGGTCCCGATCGTCAATTGACATTTCAGGATATCGCCTAGTGTGCGTGAATCGATCGGAATATAACATGGAACGAAAGAATAGACTACCCTCCGATCAAACAACTCACATCCTACCACCAACGGTCGGGCCCTGTCATGACTGTCCTCCCTCCAGATCCTAAGTAATCCCAATCCCGTTGCTTTCTTTGTTCATTCCAATTGATCCCAGACGCAAAACAACAATCCAACAATCAACAATCCAACAACCCGCGAACCAATACCATCATCCAATCACGCTACCCAATTCCCAGGCTCCAATTCCTGTGCCTGGAACCTCCCCTACCTTTTACACGTTGCTTTATGTTCTTTATCTTCTTTGTTACCGTCTGCCCTTACCTCTCTACCCCTTGCACATTTTGATTCTTCGTTGGTACAGTAGTAAAGATACTGATTGAGGGAAACGGCAGGATCCAACAATGCCATCCATAGGTCACGCATGCACAATTATACATGGATATATACAAGATCGATATTTACACCCCCCCCCCCCCCCCCCCACACAAATCACAGACCACCCCCGTCCGTCCGCCAACCTCCAACATAGAACCAAGAACGGGTACCAAAACCAACAGTCAGTCACTCATGGCCTCACCTCGAATGGATCAACAACGGGATGTAGCAACTAGCATCAGAAGATCCGGAAGCAACCTAATCCAGCGAACTCATCTGTTACCGAACAAAAAAAAAATACACACAAGACTTGAAGCAGAACAAGATAACTATCATTCAATGTAATCTGGAGAATGATCACCAAAACCGTTAACCCGCCCCCAGAGAGCGTTAGTAGTCTAGTATGCCTGCACTACTTGACTGATTATATGATTTTATACGCACTATACGCAAAGTGACAAGTTTTAATTCGGAATGAGTCACGCTGATGCTTCGCTGCCAGGGCCGGCCGGTCATGAATGAATGAATGACCATTTAATGCGGAGAGCGCGGGGGTTCGATCGTACAAGGTGAACTTGTGTTCCTAGAGAAACAAATCGTACTGTGTAGATACTTGTGGGCATATAAAGATAGGTAGATGTGAGATTCGGATTTGGATGAGAGAGTGAATGAACTGCACAGCGTGAATCACCATGAAAATGATAGAAGTAATGGGTAGCTAGGTACCAGCTATCTATGTATGTTCTGAGAAAGTGCCAGCTACATTGGCTCCTTGAGTTGAAAAAACAAAGTAAAACAAGGTTAGACGACAGGATTAGTTGTATGAGGAACGAAAAAAAAAGAACAAGAAAAAAGACAAGCATAAAAAATACTTCAAAGGACGAGCGCAAAACTGCAAAAAGATAATTCTCATTGCGCCAGCCGCGAATCGAACGCGGGGCCCATCGATGGCAACGATGGATTTTACCACTAAACCACTGGCGCTATTTTGAACTTGATATTGTTGAAATTTTGCCTCCTGTGACAGAATTATGTACCCACCCGCCTTTCTGGTCTCGGTCCACCTTTTCACCATGACTCCATGAATATGCTTTCAACGTCTTTGCTTTTATTTATATTTGCGCTTTTGCGCTTTCGAAAACGAATAACTAACTGTCTCATATTTTTCGCCTGTGAGGCTAGCGGGATATTATACACATGCTATGTTGTGTCCATGTTGATGCCATGAATGGCTGGAGTTTCCCCCGTGGGAAATAACCTGGATCGTATCGCATCGCGAGCACATCACTTTTGCCCATGTTGACTAACAATGTCCGAGTCTGGCACTTTAAGTTGATAATAGATGCACATCTGCAAATTGTCGTGCGTGACTGAAAATGCATCCGCGTAGCAAGTGCATACCCCCATATGTAGCCAGGGTGCATCGGAAATATGTTACGGACTTAGTGGCCTTTAGCAAGTGAGCATTGGACTTTTTATCTTTATTATCTGCGTGCCCTCTACCCACAAGGCCCGTCTGGAGGTTAACAAAAACATATAGACATGCATATTGAACTGCATGACTCATAGCCGGAGTAAGGTAAATAGGCTCCGTACTAGGTAAGTAAACAAGCACCCAGATGCGCAAGCGTAGATGACATGGGTGCGTGCCTCATTGATGCTGAGACGCTGGAAATGACTATAGATGGTTACCTAGAGGTAAACATCTTCTGCATACTTATATCCAGCTACAATTCATGCGTGTATACACTAGGTATAGTTATCGATACCGGCGGTGGTAGAAGGCCACGGCGTAGGTAGTTGTTTTATACCTCGTCTAAACTAGTACGCTGGTATCTTGTGCTCGTAATTTGTGAGAAGATGAGGCGTATCAAATTTTCGCAAGTTCTTTCAAGTAAAAGGTTGTTCTCCCCATACCGTACCTTTAGGCAGCCGTTCGGCATACATGCTCACTGACAAGGCTCCCGTTTACCAGGTAGAGGCTTGAGGATGTCGGGGTCGGTCCCTCATGGATCTTTGGTTCTAGCAGCCATGGGCAGGAACATTTACCTCATGCCTTGACTGGTCAATACCTTTACACAGAAAAATACTGGCCGTTTTCTTTCTCCTTCCCACGCTCCACCGAGAACCTGGGCGAGATCCGGGGGAGCTGTAATACAGAAGTGTGTGACTAACTAGTCCCAGTGGGCGAGGAAGTAACACGCGCGGGATGGGATAGGACTTACTCAACGCAAATAGTTGGACTGATAGATGTGTACTGTGTAATAGAAGACCCCGGAAACCACGGTGAAGGGGGATCGGGACACACTGAGAGAGATTCGGCGAGGGCCGCGCGTCTGGTTCTTGCCACTATCGCTGGAGCCTGGGAGGCCTCCCGTGTATATAACTCAATCAATGACGCTTGGGCTGTGCGAACCATCACCGGTGAGCCTACGTAGGATTAAACCTCTTGGTTTAACTCTCTGTGCTAAGTGATGGAGGTTGTTATCACATTCAAGGCTTCTTCAAAACACTTGGCAGCCTTGAAGGTTCCAGACACTTCCTTTGTTGCGGGCCATGTTGTAGGCCGAGGTTAACTGCTATACCCATGATCCAGACTATCAGAATATGCCATTCCATAACGCATGAGGTGGGTAGCACACTGGATAGGACGTCAGAGGCACGAGGCCTGCCTGTTCCTGGGTAAGGCGGCCTATTTGCCTCCTGGAACTGGTAGCACAGGGGAAAGCAGGGCGTCGTGTACGCCGTGAATTAGCCCACTCCTGCGAAACGTGCGGGATGCTGTATGTGTGATCGGCTCCTGCTGTCGGGGTTGGACGGGACAATTGGCGTGTTTGACATGAGGTTGTGTCCAGTGGACCGAGTGATGGGGCCAGACTCGTTTCTCGGTGTTTCCAGGTGTGGTTCATGATCCTTGACTGATGTTTCGCGTAGCCGATCAGCCGCTGGAACTTGAAGCCTTCTAACTCTGAAAAATATCTGAAGCGGCCTTCAGAGATCAACAATTGTTAGGCGAGAGGTATGTCGGCGTCCATGTCGAAAACGGTCATTAAGAACTCAAGTGAAGTCATAAACCATCAGACTCTCACCCCCACCTCTCTTCTCCTTCAGAACGATGACCATCTCATCATCAAACCCAACCCAATTCCTCCGTTCATCCCAGTCATATTCCAGATCTGGGTTGTCCACTGCAAGGCCGTTAGTAGGGACGAGATTGCTCTTATTTGATGCTTGGCCTGGTTTAATCTCAATGCTCCGGCTGCCAACCCGTTCGACCGTCCCTCTAGCTCCCAGACACGCATCTCTTCGCCTCGCGAACTGACGCTAACAGCCTTGCCCCTGGCCGTGATCTCGGCATTGCTGATCCCCGACGTGTGGCCCCATAGCCGGATACCGCGAGAGATGGACAGAGAGGAGGCGGTGGATGTGCACATGTGCAGCACGAGGGTGTTATCGGGTAGAGTAGCGAGGAGATAGGGGTGAGTGTAGCAGAGCGTCGTAGGCCCGGCCATATCTGGATGAGATCGTGAGGATGGGCTGTCTGGCTCCCGAGACCTGGCGACTATTTCGTGTAGAGGTGTTGCTGGTGTTGCTTGTAGCCCGCTGCCGGTGTCCAACGGCATGGTGTACGCTGTTTTGGTTGTGGTGATTTCGGGAGCGGACTTGACACCTGTGGTTGGGGCGCGTATGTGCATGTCTTGAAGACCAATGGACCAGCCACGTCGAGTGGAAAACGTGTAAGCTATTGAGGCGACGGTTGTCAAGGCCATCTTCCGTATCGATAGTGCGAGAGGAGGTCGAGATGAGTAGGAGTTGAGGGATGTGAGTAAATATGGCGCTGGAAGAGTGTCGTCATGGTTTTCCAAGATATTCGACTTTTCTTTCGTTGAATGACCCGGATTAGTCGTTGTACTCGTTTCGCTGTCCGTCCTCAAAACCTGACCTGGTTGCTCTGTCGGTGGCTGTTCGGGTACCTCGAACGTGTAAAGCGATACCAGTACCGCTGCCGTCGCCGTCAACAAGTAAGGATACGACAAGGCCATCGCAACCAGTTCTCCGTTGCTCGACTTTTCGTGTTTGTATCGCCTTACGAGACGGTTCTCGCCGCTGGAAAACCTCCAGACACCGAAACTCCCATCCACGAACCCTACCCCCACATCCAGTATCCCATGGTCCAACTCGGTGTCGTCAATCGCAATGCAGCTCGGCGTAGAATCCAGCCCATCCTCGCAAAGACCCACTTGCGCCAACAGGTGTCTGCTCTTCAAGTCCCATGCGCGCAAGCCCGACACCTTGTCCGCGGTAATTGCGATTCCCTCCACCACTTTGACGAGCACTTTCCGCTCCTGCCGCTGTTCATTTCCTTCTTGTGTCGTGTCGGCCGTACCCCCTATCCTCAGCTCTTCAACCGCGCATTTGCCCCTCGACCAGTTGTATCGGATCTTATATTGCCTCTTCCAGTTGACCGGTTCCCATTTCCGCTCTTGTAACCATGTGTCATCTTCTACCCCGAGTCCGTTGTTGTCGAAAGTACTTTGCTCGACTCTCTTCCTCTTGACTCCAGACTTATTGCCTCCCTCCTTCTTTTCCTGGACAAGACCGCCCCGTCGACCATCAGCCCACAGCGTTTGTCTGCCGGAGTAGTGCAGCTTGTGACCGGTACCGCCTCCGCCGACCGCGGCGTCTCGAAATCCCGGTATCCTCATGGCGCGCGGCAACACAAAGCGCGCGTAGTATAGACCCTTCCATAGCTGTGAATCTCCGGCAAGTTGATAGAAGCGGCGCGATACAGGGGCAATGGCGAGGAGGTGTTGGAGAGAGAGGAACGATAGGATGCGAATAAGGAGCTCGTCTGAGAGAGAGGAGAGGAGATCGCGGTCGGTAATGCTACGTCTGCGGTCGTCGGGCTGCTGAGCGCGTGTTGGTCGTCGGGCCGGCGAAGTGCTGTTACTGTCAATAGCCTGGGGATTCAGTCTTCGGCGTTTCGCATGCGGTAAGAAGTCGTCGAGGTTGGCATCATCACCCTCGTTATGGTGGTCGGAGTCATCGTCGTAGGCAACCAGAGGTTGTATTCTTTTGCTGGCCATTTTGCACGATTCGCAGGCGTTGTATCGCGCAGCCAAGCAAAACGGCTTCGAGGCAATTCCGGGCGTGCTCGAGCAGGCTCAAAGCTGAAGAGCGAATGTGGCCGACTTGAAGCTTGCAGGCGAAGTTGCAAGAGCTCAAGGTCAAGAGGAAGAAAACAAAGGACCGGGATGTTCGTCGTAGAGATTCCAGTTGGGTTTCTGGGGAAGTGGCAATGCCAAGCCTTTTTAAGCTTGGGGATTTTCTGGGATTACATAGCATCATGCGCGCTACTGATTGCTAACAGATTTGCACTGATGCTATATTTAAGCCGTACGGCCCACTAACAGACACTAACACACCTTGTCCAGGACACATTAACGTAAACTGCCGCGGAGCCAGACCACCAAACCCAAAACATCGCCGTAAACATCAAGACGGTTTCCATTCCTTCTCATTACTTTTTGTTCTTTTTATCAATCCTCATGGTCATTCACAATTCCGCATAGGGGTTTTCAGCTAAAAACTCGGCTTTATCTTCATCAAATTGCCATTGACCTCTTACACGTCGATTCATCCTAGACGAGCACACTCAACCTCTTCCCCTCAATACAGCTGACCGGGGAACGCCCCCTCGGCCTTCAACGTAGCATAATACAGCTCAGTCTCAGCCAAAATCACCATCCGACCCTTTCCAGCAAACTGGAAGTTGGCGACCGTGCTGCCGATCCAGATCTTGCCGAGCAGCTTTCCAGACGGGTTGAACACGTGCATGCCGTCGCCGCAGCCCGCGTACACGTTACCCTTGGTGTCGACGTGGACGCCATCCGGCACGCCTGCCGCGATGAAGGCGAAAGTCTTGCGGCTGGAGAAGGTGCCGTCCTCTTCAACGTCGTAGCGGTAGCTTTGTGTATGAAATGCGATGTTAGAAGCGGTTATTGGCTGGTGGTTACAAGGGGAAAGTTGGACTGGAGGGAAACTCACATGCTCGACGGGAAGGACGAGTTGCGTCCGAAGAAGCCCTGGATGACGCCGGTGTCGGTCACGTAGGCATGCTTGCCGTCGTGAGAGAAGGTGATGCCTAGTTCGGGTTAGTTGCTTCTCATCTCCTGTCACAAAAACTGACGGCGGGAACTTCTCCCGTCTATCCACTCACCATTAGGCATGTTAAACCCATCAGCCGCAACAGCCACAGCCCCCGTGGTCTCGTTGAACCTCCAGACCTGTTTCTGAATCACAGTCTCGGGTCGGAAATCCTGAACATAGCCGTAGGTGGTGTCGGTAAAGTAAATCTCTCCGGTACGCGGGTTGATGGCCACGTCATTGATCGAGTTGAACTGACGGCCAAAGTAGTTGTCCAGGATGACCGTGGCGTTGTAAGGGGCATTGGTTGACATGACATAAAGCGCCGGAGCAACTCTGCTGCCCTGGCCCTCGCCGGCGAAGAGGATTCTGTTCTTGTAGTTCGTTCCGCCTGATGAAGCGGTTAGTATTATTCCGTTCTACTTCTCCTCTTACCCCCGTTTTGACCCCAGTGTCTCCCGTCTCCTTCTTCTCTACTTGAGGATCAAGGACATACCGTTGGGGTTGATGATAGCAGGGGTCGCAGGCACCAAGTGAACGTCGACCTTGCCAGAGGCATTTCTCTCAGCCGCCACCTCGGCCGTCACCTGGGAAAGCGAGATCTTCTGAATGACGGCCGACTTGTTGAGTCCAGTGCCCGCGGCAGGATCACCCGCATTTTGCACGAAGAAGAAGTCATCCGTGGACGGGACCCAGACAGCAGCCTCATGAAACCTCGGGTTTGTTCCAGATGAGTTCAGAAGCGTAAGAGTGGGGTTGGCTCCAATAATATCCAGGAACTCCTCGTCGTAGATGTGGAATGGTTTCTCAAAGAGGGACTCCTTTGTCGTTCCAGGCGGGATGAAGACCTGCTCCCGCACCACATGGTGTGACAGGTTAGCGACAATGACATCAGAACCTGGCGATTCCCACTCTGGCAAGCATACCGTCGTAGAATTCGCTACAGTAGGAGGCGGTACATCCCCAAGGACATTGAAGTTCTTCTGGTCAATGACCTGTGCCTGAGCCGGAACATCGACGGCATTGGCAATTGTTGTTGCAAGGAGCAACGCGAGAGGCGTATGAGCGCGGACCATGGTGATGTTCAGATTTGGGTTGGTGAATATGTGATGGAACAACGAGATCCGTCAAGTCTACGGTGTGATTGATCACCGGGTATTTAAGCAAGCCGTTGTTAGACGTTGGTTTTGACTTTTCCCGATCAAGTTCGGTCAAGAGTTTTAAGCTTCACCGCCGACGAGTCGACGACACCGTCATCCCTCGTCTTGGCCCCCCGGGCCAATTCCATGGAATTTTCGGTCCCCTTGCCAAGATCCTGTGGAACCATTTCACGATGATCACAAACTTGTTTGGTGATGGTCGGTCGTCCTAGTTTTCAGCTGTACCACTCTGGCGCGCCCCCATTTTGACTCCCGCATAGAACTATCCTTTCAACTTGGCATCTCTAGCATCGCCGGTTTCAACCTCAACAAATCAGAGTTTTCTCCGCCGTAGACCAATGAATCTTCTTGCTCCCCATTTTTGGCGATGTGACATATCGATCGGGACATGCCGATAGGGCCTACCTATTTATGTTATCTACTGCTGGATTCTGATAGTACGTAGAGTCATGTAGAAAAAAGTGAGGTTATACAGACCGGCAGTTTAGCGATTGGCTGATCAATTTGCGGTGGAGTGTAGGCGGTTGTAGCTGGAATGACATCTTTCGGAGCCTTATTCTTAGGGTGAAAAACAGGAGGTAGGGCTTTTTTTCTTCTCTTTCCTTTTTTTTCTAGAGCATCGTGATGAATGATCTCATGATAATCGGTCTTTTCTCGTTCGAAGTCACAGTTCAAGCTAACCATTGATCGGCCGTGATAGGAGTGACAACCAACTGAGAGGAAGTATGGACGGTTCTTGTACTACTCCTATCTGCAGTATTTCGACATCGTTCCTCACCTCGATCCTCTGCGAAAGCAGCTTGCTAGCCACCTTGACCATCTGTAAACATGGAAGTATCGGAACATTCCAGATCACTTACTCCCTAGCCTCCAACGGCCCAAAGCGCTTTTTTCATCATCGAAAAACCTATCATTAACTTTTCTGGACAACTACCTCAGCTGCTGAAGAGCCAGTGGGCCAGTCGTTCACAATCAAGCCGAGTCCAATCCCAGAGAAGACAAAGGCACAAACAACATGAAGTTATCGAGCCCAGCGTCCTGCAACGCTCGTATATAAGATGGAACATCGTCGATTCCCTTCATCCTTCCCCGATTCCATTTCTCCTTCACAGCACGCATTAACACGGCTCGTTCGGCACATGCCATAGTCGCCCAGTCCTCGGACGGCCTCCATCCACTCACCCACGACTCAATCAACGACATATAACACCTAGATAGCTGGACGGAATCAAAACTACCTTTCTTCCCGGCTCATATTCTCACACTGCCGGTTAAACGACGGGACACATATTAAATCACTTTGCTTACTTTTGCCAGGCCGCTGAAAGAGCCAATCCGCGTTATTGTAGTGTATTGCTTCTTTGGGCCCAAGAAGTCCAGTGACCTTGAGATTTCATATTAGTGTCGCAGCCAGCTACAGAACTCGCTCGGTGCTTTTGATAAACATGGGTTGAGTTTGCTTGTTCCCGGTAGATGGACGGTATCACACACATAGAATCTGGGGCCCCGGACGCCTCTTTTCTGCTCTGCCGCCGCAGTTTGTGCGAGGGAGTTTACAGAGGTCAAATAATCCCCAGAGTAAGGCCGAGGAAATCCATGCGGGCGTTGAAACGCACGAATAGCAATGTGGCTCGTGATTGCGGTTGTGGAGACTCTGACATTCTTGGGCAGCTGCCTTGATGGCGTCCGTGATTGAATGAAAGTGACAGGCGCGCTAGACGTAGGCAATAAAGAGGGTTTCTAACCTCTCTTATTGCATGCTAGGCTCTGGCTCGTCCTTATATCCGCCCCCGTCCATCTGCGTCTTGCACCTGCTTGTGCTGTACTTCCTCGTCACAACCACAGAAAAGTCATCTCTCGACCATGAAGTCCTCACTGCTAACCATCCTAACCGCCGCATTCGCTGCCCGGGAAGTAACCGGCCACGCAATTTTCCAACAACTCTGGGTAGACGGCACCGACTACGGTTCCACCTGCAACCGCCTTCCGACGTCCAACTCCCCCGTCACCAACGTGGGAAGCCGAGATTTCGTCTGCAATGCCGGTACCAGGGGTGTCAGTGGGAAATGCCCCGTCAAGGCAGGCGGGACCGTGACGGTTGAGATGCACCAGGTAAGTTCCCTTCCTTCTTGCTCTTGGTTCAGTTCCTTCTTCCTCTTCCCTTCCAAAGTCCCCTTTCAAAACCCCCACCAAGACCACACCCGCACGGTTCAATTTCCATCCCAGCCTAACGCAACGATCACTACCGTGAACATCCTTTAACCCAAAAACCAGCAACCAAACGACCGCAACTGCAAATCCGAAGCCATTGGCGGCGCCCACTGGGGTCCCGTGCAAATCTACCTCTCCAAAGTCTCCGATGCCTCGACAGCCGACGCTTCCTCGGGCGGCTGGTTCAAGATCTTCTCCAACGCCTGGTCCAAAAAATCCGGCGGCCGCGTAGGCGACGACGACAACTGGGGCACGCGCGACCTCAACGCCTGCTGTGGACGCATGGACGTGCCCATCCCCAAGGACCTGCCCAGCGGCGATTACTTGCTGCGAGCCGAGGCGCTGGCGCTGCATACCGCTGGCCAGAGCGGCGGGGCGCAGTTTTATATTTCTTGTTATCAGATTACCGTCAGTGGTGGCTCGGGTGGTAGTGTGAGCTATGCGACGGTCAAGTTTCCGGGGGCGTATAAGAGCAGTGACCCGGGTATTCAGATTAATATCCATGCGGCGGTGAGTAATTATGTGGCGCCGGGGCCGGCGGTGGTAAGCGGGGGTGTGACCAAGCAGGCTGGGAGCGGGTGTGCGGGTTGTGAGTCGACTTGTAAGGTTGGGAGCTCGCCGTCGGCGGTGGCGCCGGGTGGAAAGCCGGCGAGTGGTGGGTCGGATGGGAATTCTCCTGAGGTGGGTGAGCCCAGTACTGGTGGTGGTGATAGTCCGAGTGCGCCCGGTGCTTGCGCGGTGGCTGCGTATGGGCAGTGTGGTGGAAATGGATACTCTGGGTGCAGCCAGTGCGCAGTAAGTAAACCTCTTCCTTGACTTGAAGGCTGTGGATGAAGTTTGAGCTGACAACGGTGGAAACCGACAGAGCGGATACACCTGCAAGGCTGTCTCGCCGCCTTATTACTCGCAGTGCGCACCAGCCTCGTAAGGTTGTAACGGAGGCCCATAGCCGAAGGTCACGGCTGGTTCAATATCCTGCTCAAAGGAGACTCCGAGCCGGTGTTGAAGTGCTACCGGTTCGGCAAGGCAGCTGTTGAGGTGTAGGCAGTCAGCACCTGTGGTGTTTGCAAATCGAAATGCCATATGGGTCAACGGCTTATTCAAAGTCATTTTCCACCCTCCACTGGTCTTGCAACTTGAGTTGTGTCTTCTCTGCGACATCACATCCTTGATGACCCCATTTCTCGGTATAGATTCTCATTCCAGCCCCTGTCAGGAGTTGAAAGGCACGGGCAAACCCTTCCGGATCGTAGTAATACGGTTCTCCCAGACCACCTTGCTGGCTTTTCTGCCACCTGTTTCGCTGGTGATCGCCGTCGCGGTACTTGTGAGCGCCCATGTCGATTCCCACCTGGTTGAGGATGCGGAAATACGCCTTCGGGTCCGTGGGCATGGCCGTCGTATTCGAATAAGCTTTCTCGCCGTTCGAGCCCTCCTTCACCTTCCACTTGCTCTTCTCCTTGATACTCGCCTCCTGATCAGGAGGTAACGGATTCGGATCCACAAACCCCGGAGTAATAGCCGGGTTCCGGTAAAGCGCTTCCAGATCCGCCATGACACTCGACACATCATTGATGATGCCCGCCCTTCGATGCTTCGTCGTCCAACCATCCATGCCCAGCTTCCCATTCATGTCGCAATCAGTCCCATAGTACGGGATCATCGAGTCCCATCCGCCCACCGCCTCCAGGGCCGCCCGGTTCACCAGCGTCAAGTGGTCGTACTGAAACCAGCGGAACCCCCACTTTTCCTTCCTAGTCGCCGTCGTGTTGATCTCCCGCAGACAATTCTCATAAATCGTCCTGTACCCCTCCTCGCCCGCAGCTGACGGATTCAGAACCGTCGCCTTCTTATCTTCCTCATCATAAGTATCCCACTCTCGATCGCCCGGCCTGTGCTCCTGATCCGACCCGTCCTCAAGCGAGAATACCAAAACGTCCTGGTGGCTGTAGAAGTAGTACTTGTGATCCTCCTGGTAGGCGACGTCCAGGAAGAAGTTCTGCATCTGCGCAAAGTTGAGCAGAACGGGCGTCTGGATCACGTTCACGCCCAGCCGTCTGAGTGTGGTGTGGTTGAGGAAGAACGGGTTTTGCAAAGACAAACGGCCGGCCCGGTTGGAGTTGTGTACTCCCGTGTTCTCGACGACGTAGATTCCGGAGGCGGGCCACCCGGCGGTGATGTACGAGACTACGGCTTGTAGGAGCATGGGCCATTGGCGCGTGAAGCCGATGAAGAGTGGAGGGGGGCGGGAGAGGCCGTAGCGGTGGTGTAAGTCGGGGTGGGGAACGTTGTAGGCAGGGATCGGGGGAGGAAGGACGTCCTTGGAAGTGGTGGCGAGCAAAGGGAAAGGGTCGGTGATGAGCGGGGGAGGGTTCTTCGGAAGGGGTTTGTATTTCGGGGGCGGAGGTCCTTCAGGTTTCTTGTCGGTCACGGGTCGATTACTGGAGTGGCTTCTGTCATCGCTAAGGATCGGAATTGTCTGGAGTAGTCGGCTGGCTGTTGGACTGTCTCTGTAGGCATACAAGAAGCCAAATGCGAGGCCGAGAACGCAGAAGACAAGAATCGAGAGACGCGCAACGCGCGGGTTCATGGTCGTGATCATGGTCGCGGATATGTCGAAATGACAGCTCGCTGCATCCTCTGGCGGTAAATATCGCGTGGTTTCTCGTTTTGTTGCCGTAATGTTGAACCAGTCGAGGGTTTGATGTTGGTTCAAAGTGCGATGAAAGGTGCCCGGAGAGAACAAAGCCTTCGGCGGGAGCAGCCGAGGTTTTGAGTTTGTCGTTGACAGAAAGTTTTGCTGAAACCAAAGGATCGGATGCAAGGGCCAAAGGGTTCTGTCACCGCCCGTGAACCGTCAACTGGTTTCTGATACCATTCAGGGTCGCCCATTCCCGTCCTTGGAGCTCAGGGGCAATAAAGCTGATGAATGGTACAAACAAGTTGGTCTCGACGGATGCTTGGTACCGAAAGGGGTCGATGTAACGCGTTGGTTGTAGGAAGGTGGGATTTTCTGACAGTAATTTTATTGTGCACTAAGCCGGGTGTATTGGCAGTGGCTGGTAGGCAGCTACCGTCTCGTATTGACAAGAGTAGTGAATAGGCTTCCACTTCATGTTGTACATTTTCGGCATCCGTACGTGTCCGTTCAATTGGATTTATGCGTACTGTCGTCGAGATCCTTGAACTGACTCGGAGGATTGATGTTTTGGATTTGTGGAAGTGGAAAACTCGTGGGGCCTCGAGACAGTGCCCCTGGGCCTAGACCTGCCCTCCAGCCCTATAAGGTGAGACCTCAGGGCCCTGAGAGGAAATGGGAGGTCATGGCACTCTGGGGGACCACTCCGGTCTCTTTATTATTCCAAAATCCATGGAAAGCATACAAAGAAGGTATCCCCAAAGATACACTCGAGACTAGAGGTTGATTTTCTCATGTTGTGCTTCGTGGATAGGGCCCTTGGATGCAGTGGAAGTTGAGACTTGCGGGAACAGACCGAGGAATGCCAAGACGCAACGTTGCCAAGCACGTACAGGTGGGGCATCACGGCGTCTCCACAATCGCCCGCCCTGACTTTCTCCACTTATAACCTCTCCTCATCTTCCATCTTTCGTCAATTGAGACAACTCTGTCACACCTGAACCTCGCACTCTACGCAACTTATTTCAACGACCATTGGAACATGACAATGCCTCTTTGGGATAACCATCTAACAGTATACTCGAGGTAAAGTCTCTACACTGCACGAATGAAAGGTCGGGCCGGCCGATCCCTCAAACAAGACCCGATGCTCGACAACACTGCTTCCTTCTTTCGATGCCACGCGCTGTCGACCAGATCTCTTATACTGAAAGACAATGTATTTTCGAAAACAACAACCTCTTTGAAAATTAACTAATGGGATTCCATCGACGGGCATCGATAGCAGTTCAGGGTCCGACCGGCCCCCAATTCATCCTTCTAGAGAACCAATGCCGGGACTGTTGTGTATGGAAGAACCATATCGTGTGGTTATATCTTACCCGCAGAAAAGCTTCAACTGATAACGGCCGGCTCTGAAGTGATTAACGCTGTATCCATATTAACCTTTGGGACTAAACTGTAGTATAATATTCATGCTGGTTTATAGTTCCCCTACTTGTATCGCTTGGCTGGCCTTTTACAATTAGTCACTTTTATAATAGCACGCCGCCCTCCAGTGATCGCCCCTAGGGCGAGCACCGGAACCTCCTCCTCTTATCACAATAGACAGTCACCTTTGCTTCTCATCAACCACAGCAACTCCGGCGAAGACCTTGACTCCCCGGCCGAATCCGTTCTCTACGAAAATCATCGAGCTACCTAAAAGCCTACTATGGATAAACCCCCCAATAAAATAGATGTTACTATTAAGGCCATCCAGTATGACAATACCGACCTATCTTCCGCTATCGCCTTTGAACGCTCCCTCTCCTTCCTCGAAGCTTGCAAGTTCTACCCCGCCGCTATCCTCTGGTCCGCCTTCGTCTCCATCGGTCCCATTTGCTTCGTCATCCTCTCCGAAGCCAGCGCGACCAGGGTGCGATCGAAGAGCATCGCCCCTCGCGACTGCCGCCCAGGGCGCGCTCGGGTGCGTGATGACGGTTGCGATTCCGTACATGATCAACCCCGACCAAGCGAACATGCAGGGGAAATTGGGCTTCTTCTTTGGGGGACTGGCTGCATTGTGCTTGGTTTGGTCGTATCTGAGAGTGCCCGAGACGAACGGCAGGACGTATGAGGAGTTGGATATTTTGTTCGATAGGAAGGTTGGAGTAAGGCAGTTTGAGGGGTACGGTATTGACAGCGAGGGTGTTGACTGACTGATGCGAGGAGGAAGCGAGTATGACAGGCTGGGGTGCATATGCCCAGACGGCCAAACCTACAAAAGACAGGATGATGTTCTGCTTGCAAGGCAGAACTCGGAATGCACACTATATAGCCAATGCCAACCTGTGACAGGGAGGGGCCACTTTGGGTACGGGTTTTGGAGGGAAAGAGGTAAGGGCTTCATCGTTTACGGAAGCCGGAGCATCTATGAGTGCCTGCGCGCGCATGTGGAAGGAGCCATATAAGGAAAAAGTTGTTCTTACCTTTTTAACAATTGAGGGACTCATGGTCAAGCGGTGTGGTGCGCTACTCTTTGGTCTGGCCAGCCAGGGAGCAGCGGCGTACACGTCCTAGTACTTCGTTGTTTACGCACAGGGTAATTGATAGCTGGGCGGTGCCCTGTAGGGGTGTCTTGTTAAGGGCCTACACTATACTACAGCGGCTATAGAGCCCCCAGAAAGCTCAGACCCAGCCGCGCATCCAACGGTCCGGAAAGGTCCCCAGTTCGAACCTGGGCTCGAGCCGTCCCTTCCTTTTTTCTTTTCCCTTCTCCCCCTTCCTCGATTTTTTTATATGACGGAAAATGCGACGCGGAGGAAGAATGAAATAGGGCCAAAGTTGTTTCTTGGAAACGAGACGCAGCTGGCTGGAATGGCAATAATCAGTCTGGAGCTGTCTCCTTCCGTCGCACTTTGCCTAATCCAAATCTTCCAGTTCTGCACTCTCTCAACTGTCTTCGCCTGCTGAAGATGACGGGACAGAGCACATAGCCAAAGTTACCAGATCTTCAAAAGGTACGACAATATTGTGCTTTATTGGGTGGGTATAACTCGGAAGTGGAAATTATAAACAATGTCAACCTATGACATCGTGCTTGATTTCGCTTCTCCATAGCTTGTAACACCAAAAACGACCTTGTTTGTGCCCTTTGTCACCTGCCTAGTAGGATGGTCGCCAAAAATGAGCATATACCATATGGGAATGATGATGTCTTTAATGCGCTCTCTGTTATGTCAACGTAATACCTATCTATGCCTTTGCTCTCTCAGCTGCCAGTTCGATCCCTGCTCTGTGTGTATTCTTGTCGCTGGCTGAAGATGCAAGGAGCCAAGTCATTTGGCAACTTGAACCCTTGATAACTCGCTGATATCCCTGCTACACTGCCCAAAACACCAAGTCTTTCACGATGAGGTTGCAACACAAAAACACCGATCCATCCGCAATGAACACAGGAAAAGATAATCGAAAACAGAGAAACTCCAACCCTTTAAATTTGTTCAAGTTCTCCAGCCCTGTCGGGGGAGAAACTGTGGTTGCCCCTCTCCCTTTTTTTTTTTTCCCTGATTCACCTTGTTTCTCGGTCGTCCTCGTGAGACTCTTGGTTTTCGATCGTTTCGACAATGTCGTCCGTCTCTGCAATGTTGCCCCTCTCTGCAGTCCATCTCGTGGTACAGTCCAACTCGAAAGAAGGGAACGAGATGCTTGGCGAAGTTCGGCAAGAGATATCTCGAAAGAGAGACCTTGTTTCCATCTTTCCCGGTTGCTCATTTTGCGGGATACCTTCCATGAGAGAGAAAGACATCCGAGCATTATCCGCCTGCAGCTTATTCCGCGGAATATCTTTCAAGAGAGAGAAAGACTCCATGAGGATCTCCAACTTAAGGATCTTCTTCTCCGATATCTCTTTCCTGGTGGTATACTCCTTCAACTTCTCTTTCAGCCTCTGCTCCTTGAACTTCCGTCTTGAGATCACCTCCTCTGAGGTCTCCTTCAAGAACTCCAGCTTCAGCATCTCCCCCTTTAACTTATCTAGCTTCTTCAAGGCCTCCTCCAGGCTCTCCTGCTCCTGGCTTATCTCCTCCAAGACCTCCTCTGGCTTGTTTTCTCGCTTTCCCCTTTTCCTCGCCGCCAACTCCTCAGCCCGTAGTGTTCTTAGATGCTCGCATCCCTTGCGCCACCTGGTCCATTTTCCCACGCCATCCATCAGTCCCGCTCTCCTCTCGTTTACCAGCGCTCTGATTACACCCTCCCTCGCAGCCATGCTCACAAACTGGCCCTTCACACCCTCTTCACCTTCCTCCGCGGACTTTCTAACCACCTCCAAGGCCTCACCACTCTCCTCAAACCCGTATGAGGCATAAAATTTCTTATCGGCATCGTTGTTCATGGCCATAACCAGGACTATCGGCTCACATTCCCGTCTCAAGCCGGTCTCGCTCTTCCCTGGACGCTGTGCCTCATGCACTGAAATGACATCCAGTAAGTATTGAAGAATCAAGTCCCTCAGCCCTTTGCCCTCATGTCCCGGATCGACATGCAAATCGGCGATCTCGTAGCACTAGGAGTAGTCCCAGATGATGCGACCAAAGGCTACGGGGGCGGGTTCGTAGGGGATTAATGGCAGTGTAGGCGAGGTTTTGGCAGTATGGATGTTGAGCTTTGTCTCTCCATCTTTGTCCACTTGGTCTGAGATTGAGACACAGGAAAAGACGTCGGCACTTTCCTCTGGGCCTGCAATGGTGCTGTTGACATTGGCTTTAGGGGGAACACTGTCAACCTTGATAGGGCTGGGCTGAGCGGCTGGGGAATCTGAGCCGTGATTGAGCTCCTTCGACGAAGAGACGTTGAGGCTTGTCTCTCGGCAGATAGTGGTGCTGTCGGTGTCAACCTTTTGAGGAACACTGTCAACACAGTTGTTATTGGGCTTAACGACAGGGGTTAAATCCCAGTCAAGGATGCTGCTAAAAGGTTGGAAAGTTATCGTGCAACTGTAGACGAGCGGAGGCCTGGTGGAAGGGTCGACGCCGAATCTCAACGCATCCTGTGGCAGACCGGCGCGGACACGGAGAATGCGATACGCATGGGGACGGGGTGTGTGGTGGATGCGAAAGTGGTAGGTGCCTTCTGATGAGCCTGGGAGCTGTGCTTGGTACTTGAACTGCAACCTATTGACGAGGAACGGCAAAGTATCTCCTGGACATTCCGCCTCCTTGTATGCCTTGACCATGGTGTCGATCGGTGACTACTGACTGAAGAAATAATGGAATGGCAATGATCGATAAAAAGTGTGGGAATGACCCGAGTCGAATGTGCGATAATGGTCTGGTTGGTTGAGCCAAGAAAAGTGGTTGATAAAAGTGGCTTGGGGTTGATATTGGGGGGAAAAGTCAGGTCGAGGTCAGACGTTGAGAAGACTTCCCGCATTTATTTGAACCTTGAAGCAGCCCAACGGCTTGCTTGCGTTCGGAAGCAGGTGCTTGCAGCAGAGTGCATCTTTGACGAGAAAGAACACACGACTGCTTGTTAGCCAGTGCAAGTGCAAGTCAATGGAGATAAAGAACGGCGGAACCACTCACGGAGTTTGTCAAGCACGCCTGTTATGGCTATAGCAGGTGCACTACACAGGCTCTGCACATGGTAGCTACGATGCTTACACCTCCCAAGGACACTCCCTCCTGTGCACAAAGCCGGCCTGCCAAACCTTGTGAATTATGAGACCCACAGCCTTTCCTTCCTGGAGGTACATACCCAGCTATACAGGTTGCATTGTCTTACATTTGCTTGACGGAGGTGACGATTTGCCGTGATAGGCCGCGATTCAACCTTACAGGTATGTATGATACACGTTGTGTAAATTTGCAGCTTTCCCGATTCGGCCTGACGACGGATAATTGACCAATAGGAATGCTTCCTGAGCGTTTAGCGCCGCGAAACGGTAACGGTGGGTCGCTCAGTCTCTTGAAAGATGCGGTGTAATGGTAATTTACAGTACGTAAATTTCATTGCATTTTCACCAAAGGGGGCAGGAAGGGGTTTTGGGGACACGCTCTGTCCGACATCACTGCATGAAGAGAGCAAGAAGGCCTTGGTCTCGGCGGAAACTAGAAAAGCGAAAGAGTATTCCACATGCTCTTGCGACGGACGATCCATGCTTGCAATCATCTCGATTGAAGGCAGTAACAAACGAAAGAAAACAACAATGCGTAAAAGGGGCAGTAAGATACAAGCATTCCTGAATCACTCCTTCTCTCCAACACCAAGAAGCCCCTTCAGACTTTCCGTTGTCGACCATAATCCTACCACAACATGGAACATCCAAACGTCACGCTGTGGCTGGATCTGGCAGCCCCATCTCTGCCGGGAGCCAGTCGCAACTCCTTCTCTCCCAAATCCTTTCAAATGAAGAAAGGGTCTGGCTTCCGGAATTGCTCGCCCGCATACGACCACGGCTTCCAACTCCCCTTCAACTCCGTCTCAATGTCCATCAGTCGATTATACTTGGCCACCCGCTCGCCCCGACAGGGTGCTCCAGACTTGATATGACCGGTACCGAGTCCGACGGTCAAGTCGGCAATGAAATCGTCAGTTGTTTCGCCCGATCGGTGAGAGACGAAAACGCCCCAGTCCAAGCTCTTGGCCAGTTTCGCCCTTTACCACAGATGTGAGTTAGCAAGACCAACATACCCCCTTCAGGAGCAGAAAAAAAGTGAAAACAATTAAGAATGCTCACGCGTCAATAGCCTCCGTTACCGTTCCAATCTGGTTAACCTTCAACAGCATCGCATTACACGCCCGCCTGCTCTCCGCCATCCTGAGCCTTTCCACATTCGTGCACAATAAGTCGTCGCCCACCAGCTCCTCGCTGTAATTTGTGCAAAATTTTGTCCATGACTCCCAATCGTCCTCGGCGAAGGGATCTTCAAGCAGCGGGATCGGATACTTTTCCATGAGGGAGTTGTACAGCTCCATCATTTGGTTGGGGGTCTTGATGTCATCCGCGTCCGATTGCACATTTGATCCGCCCTCGGCTGATGCGCCTTCGGCTTCTTCTAGAATTGAGGGTCTCTTGGTTCTCTTGAAGCCAAGGTTGTAAGTCCCGTAGGTGGGTTGAAGAACTCGGACGAGGCAGGGTCAATTCCGAACTTGATCTTGTCGGTGTAGCCGGCTTTGGCGACGGCTTCGGTAAGTAAGTCCAAAGCTTCTTCGGGTTGGGTGATAGGTGGGGCAAAGCCGCCCTCGTCGCCTATGCCTGTGTCTGTGATTGAAGACTGTCAATTGTCACCTCACTAGAAGATCCATTCCATTTGCTCGAGAGAAAACCCACAAATCGCCCCAAACTTCTCTGCAATAATCTGCTTCAACACATGATACGTCTCACTCGCCATGCGAACCCCTTCCTCAATAGTCTTGGCACCCGTGGGCGCGATCATGAACTCCTGGAACGCCATCCCGTTTCCTGAGTGTTTTCCTCCGTTCAAGACGTTGAAGAATGGAACCGGGACAATGTAGGGGGACTCCTCGCCGCTTTCGCGGCGGAGGAACTCGTACAGGGGGATGTTCGCAGCAGCAGCCCCAGCCCTAGCACAAGCCATGCTCACCCCCAAAATGGCGTTCGCACCCAGCTTGGCCTTGTTCGGAGTCCCGTCGAGTTCCCGCATGAAGCCATCGATCTGCTTCAAGTCGTAGTGGGGATCATAGCCTCCTTTGATCAGGGCCGGGCCAATAATCTCGTTGACGTTGTTGACGGCTGTGAGGACCCCCTTTCCTCCGTACCTGCGTTGGTCATTGTCGCGGAGCTCGACAGCTTCGTGGGCTCCGGTGGAGGCGCCGGAGGAGACGAGAGCGCGGAAAGTTCCTGCAGATAAAGTAGTCAGGGCGATTGCTTCGTATTGGGAGCTCATTAGAGCGACACCCCATAGACAGATAAAAACGTACCATGGGCGGTTTTGACTTCCACTTGGACGGTTGGATTCCCCCTGGAGTCGAGGCGTTGAGCTCCTTTTATATCCAAAATCATGGCGGTTGGTTACACCTTGATGTTGATGTGGTTGGCGATGTTGAGAAAAGAGGGGGAATGGAATGAACTGCTGGGGTGAGGTTCATCTCTTGTGCGTCTTTTACTAATCGCAGCCAGCACGGTTCGTCATCGATGCAATATTTATGACGTGCGTTGATGCATGCCGTATTGAGATGCCTGGGAACTAGACACATCCCGTTGAGCATCGGGGACGTGCGTCTTGCAGTTATACATATTCAACGACACTCCTCTTAGGTTGGAGATCCAGATCTTCTTTTGCGCGAGGCCCATACTTGAACAGCAAAGAGACCATTAACTCAATATGAGAAACCTCCGTCACTGTATGCCTGCCATGGATACCTCCACCCGCCTCTCGCCCTCTTCACATCCCGCTCCCTCCCCACTCCCACCCCTTTTTAAAACCGCCTCCATATCCCTTCTCTTTAACTCCCCCAATGTACCATTCAACCCGCACCCCGGCGCAGCACAAGTCGACAGCGTATGTATATAGGTGATCTTCCCTCTCTCGACCCTAAAAATATGACTATCCCACAAATCGCAACAGCCCCCATCGTCTCATCAACCACATACCGCCTATTCGTTAACTGCACATGGCTCGGCAGTCCCAAATCACACGTCTGCTTGTACAGAAGCTGCAGATCCGTGTACACCGCACTGCCCTCTAGACGCGCACAGGGCATGTTGAAGGGCACGGAAACGTTGACGTTGGAGAAACGATCAAAGTAGGCGTCGCCGGGGGCTTTGATGGCGGCGCGTGAGTCGCGTCTTTCGGCATTGACCCCTTCGTCACCGTTAACGGAACATTCTGTTAGTATAGGATCCCACTGCTCTTGTAAATTCCAGTATGCGTAACCAGTCGCATTAAACAGCCAGTCACCCGGTTTTGTAGCCAACGTCTCGATCAGTGTCACTTTAGTGTCATTATGATGAGTATTGCTAAAGACGATGCGGGTGCCGATCACGTAGGGACGGGAAGGGTCGGTGCTGATGACTTGCGTGAAGGTCGATGTTACGATCCAATCAGAGAATCCTATGTAGGCTAGACTAGATGACCAATCAGGTAGGACCCGAGACGAAGGATCGGGTCCACGGGTCGGGTATATCGGGTCCAGGAAGGCCGGTATAAAAGAAAGCTTCCCCAGGCCTCTTGTTACCGGATCTTCAGCAAGCAATAGCTATCACAATCTACCAGTACCTTTCGGCTACTACTCTGTTACTCTATTGTTCTATCACAGCGATAATACTCCTGTGCTTGTCACGGTTCGTCACAGTCGAGCAGTCAACTGTGTCGTGGATTGAGAATTGGCGGGTTATGTTGATGCCCTTTGATAAAATCCCGGTAGAAATGTCGAGGGGACGGTCGGACTCGGTGTAGGAAGTGTTTAGGCTGATGTAGGCACGAGTAAAAAATTCGGGCTTGCCAGCGCTGAGGGCGAAGGTGTAGGTGTTTGTTACATCGCGGAGCCAGGAGGATGTGCAGTGGCTGGAGACGGAGGTAACGAGGGTGCTGAAGACGATGAAGAGCATTGGGGACCTCATAACGGTCGATTGTTTTGCCGACACTGAGCGGTTGATTGAGAAAAGCTGTCGAGCTGTGCCTGGTAAAATTCGGAAAAATGAATGTCTAAGCCATCACATCATTCAAAACTTGTGCAAAGGGTGTCTTATTTCATCTTTGGGGAAGAGAGAGCCAATTGTGAGGTGCATGTGGCAGAACTGCCGAGCACAAATGTCGATCAGTCTGTATTCGAGGCATGAAGTTAGACAGCTCTTGTTGTCATTTTTCCCTCTGTCATACAAGAGGTGCTCGTATGGATGGAGGGAAGAAACTGAGGGCTTTCCGAGGGACACATCAGATTGCCGATGAAGTTTTATCCGGACCGGCTGCAAATAAATTGCTCAGAGTGAGGTGCTACCCAGCTGGCTCCTGTGGCTGATTGGCCATCTCCCTCTCTGTCCCTCACGGTTTTTCTGGTTCAAAGTATTCTTTAATAATATTCGATATTCTGCAGTCCTCACGAATATTCGGCCAAAAACAATTGTCGTAGGACTTATACCTCTATTTTTCAGGCGCTGAGGTTTCAATTTTAGAATGATGGCGACCCAACGAGTTCTCGTAACGACTTTTCCCAGCAGTGATCGTGGACCCTCCGCTGTGTATACCAGATAAAAAGCCCTGATACCTACACACTTCAATCCCTTCGAGCCAAGTCTCTCTCAAGTCCTTCGGCACCATCAACTCGCCTCCTCACTGGTTCGTCGTCTCAAGTTCGAATAACTAAGCCCCGACACCCTTCCCAATCAGCGCATCAAACGCACTTTGCGGCACTCTGGCTAGACTCAAATCATGCGACCATACAGCCTTGCCATCATGGCTGCTGAACGAGCTGGAATTGCTCGCCGGGTTGGCGACCGCCTTAGTAGCCTTGGCCCAAGCAAATGCGTTTGCTCCGTTGGGGTTCAGCTGGCTGTTAGCCCATTTGCTGCAACCCTGGCAGAGCACGTCCAGCTGCCAGTGCGTAGCATTGGCGGTAGTTGTGGGAAGGACGGTGTAGGTCGCGCCAGAGTAGGCGCTGGGGGCGCTGTGGCCACTGTCGCGATTCAAGTGGGTTAGCAACGATGGCCGGGAGCTGAGGAGGTAGAAAGTTGTGCTTGTGAGGGAGTGATGAAGGAGGAGAAAGGCGAAGAAGAAAAAGATGTAGAGGAAGAACACTGACCTCGTAAACCTCGAACTAACAACCGATCCATCACCCCCATTCGGCAACGCCCACCCAATCGTCAACGGATTATTACTCATCTTTCCTCCCCACGCAATTCCTGCCCATCCCGCAGTGGCTTTGGGCGCGATGATTTGGAGGAAAATATCGAAAGGGGCCGCGGCGACTTCGGGGATTGCGATGCGATACGTGATCTTTTGAGCCGCTACGGTGAATTCGGAGAAGCAAGCCGCTCCTGGTGTCGACGAAGGACAATACTTCTGGGTGAGACTTTGACGTTTGTCGAGGGCATCATCGTGCTGAATGCCCCTATGGTTGAAAAGACTTCTGGCTGATACGGTGGGGGTGATGCTCTCGATGGCGCAAAGCGCAACAAGGGCGAGTCGCTTGAGTCCTAGCATTGTTGCTCGAAGGTCTGATTAATGTTCGGAGTAAAATTGAGCGTGTTCGAGACTTTATGATGGAGCTTAGCTGGGCATGGTCAAGCTTTATATAGGTCTTGGTATTGTGAGCTACAGGAAATGTCGAAGATGGAGCTTCTAAGCGCACAGAAAATGCCCCCACAGAGACGGGAAGTTTTCCTTTGGGAAGGAGCGTAGGAGATGATTGGGGGAGTCCGGGGAAGGATCTGTAATCCCTTCAAGATTTGCTGCTGTGCGGGTAGATCTTGGAAAGGTGCAATCTGGGTAAAGACGGCTCGGTGATGAAGCAGATTAGGAAGCGGCAAGTCGGCAAACGCTCCTTGAGCTGCGAACGAATCTTTCGGCAACCTCAAGCCAACCTGACCGATCTACCAATGGTTTTCAGAGATATTAATCAGGACGGCGTTTGATGGAGAAGGAGGCAAACATACCGTAGAAACTCGCGAAATTAGAAAAAAGGTCTTCCCTCTTTCAGCGCCGGCGTGTGGGCCAGGAAGCTGCCCCGTACGCACGCACACACAACACAGCAAATGCACCTGTCCAGCCGGAGTTATCATACACGTAAGGATACTACCTTCTATTTGAAATTGCACGCATTTGAAGGCACAGTGACCCGGCTGATTCTGCCTGCTTCCTGTACATACCTTTGCCGGCGTCAAAGAGGGAAGGCCTTTTGCCAGTTTCGCGAGTTTCTACGGTAGTATATGCCTGACTGAGTGTTATGAGGATAGAGTTCATTGCCACAAGCACATATCAGCGAGATCAGATAGCATTGTAAACAAGGGCTCAAAAGATGCCCATTGAAAGTTGGATTGTGAGTGAGGAGTGATCCTATAATCAAGCCATTCTAAACACCGTTTTGTATCCCACTTTCGCGATCCCAACCACAAAAGCAAAGGAAAAAAAAAGAAAAATAGAGCTTACCTAACTTACCGCACCCCCCTTTCCCCCCCCCCCCCCCCCCCCCTTTGTCCTCACATACCCCTTTTAACGTCACGTACCCCATGACAGCTTATAGTAAAAGCGGGTCGTCTTCGTTTGTAAATTTCTGTACTCCAGTCAACGCATCGCCAAAACTTCAGCACATTGCCAACTTCAATACATCGCCAAGGTTCTATTATTTTCCCTCCCAAAGTTCCTCTTGAGGTGGTTAGCAATTCAACAAGGTAGTGATGTAGTGATGTGGGCGATACGTCACCTCTAGGTATTGAAACCACTGTCGGTGCGGCTGGTGCAGATGTATTCGAATGTTTGGAACATTTTGTCGTTGAAAGTTAACTGTTCGAAACAGTGAGGGGGTATTTGGCGCGCAAGAAATGGGGTTCTGAAATGTTCTGACAAAGGGAGTTGTTCAGAGCGTTGTTTAAAATCCATCGCTCTGAACATTTCCGTCCTGAAATCGGTCCAAATTCCACGTTCTGAAATCCTTGCTGAATCTGAAATTCAGAAAAGACCCTGCAACACTTCAGAAATCCACTTCGGAGAACCCATTTCAGAACCCCGTTTCTTGCGCGCCAAACACACCCTGAGAGACTTTCATGTGGATGTCAGCTGTTATTCAGTTAGTTGCCATGGTGGAAGATGATACGTGAAGCCAAAAAGGGTGCACGAGAACATTAGTGACGATGCGGCAAGTTAAGCTCAAAAAAATGAATAAATCAAAAATAAAGGAGAAGAGAGGAACCTTTACGGAAAAGGTCATTAAATTCCCCAACTCCCCGCTGGTATCATAAAGCCATTACTCCAACCCATATTTTTCCCCAAGCCGCGCGCCGGTGATATGCAACTGAAGTTCCGCTTCCACACATACTGTATTTGTTTCCCACTCCCTGATTGTGTTTCTTTTCCACCCCAAAACCAACAACCCATGTTTTTCCACAGCCCGTGCGCCGGTACTATGCAATTGACCCTCATCTTCCAAGCCAAAGTTTTTTCTTTTTCTTTTTCTTTCTTTTCCCGGCTTCGCCCTCTCATCCCAAGTGCTAGCAAAATGGGTTATGGCAAAGTGCAGCACTACTTGGCCAGGAGTCGAATCGTCACTTCCTGTTGGCAAACCAAAGGCTTCCCTAAGTAGGATGGGGGCGCTTCCAGCCCAGGTGCTAGCAGAAATGGGTTATGACAAAGTGCAGCACTACTCTGCCAGGAGTAGAATTGTCACTCCCTGTTGGCAAACCAAAGGCTTCCCAAAAGCATGAGGCGCTTCTAGCCCAGGCGAGTAACCATACGCTCTGGTGCACATCCCATTTCACCTGGCACCTGGACCGGCCTTAGTTCCACATACCACCATATTGCGGATCACCAACACCACCACGGCTGATCAGCATCAGATTCATTTGATCCATTCTTCCTTTTAGCGCACGGTAGTCCGTCTCCAAGCTATAAATCTTCCTTTCAAGCTCATTGATATACTCCGTCGCCTTGCTGAGGATGGTGGCCTTGTTGAGTTTGGGTGCCGGTATCATATTCAGGTCCCCTTCCGAGCCCTCGCACTCATCCTCGTAGTGGCCGCTCTCCATGCGCATGGCGGCAAGGCGAAGAGATGGGACAGAGTCGCGAAGCTGGCCGATCTTGTCGTTGAGATTATTGCGATACCTTTTCTCGATCATGTTGTGGGCCGTCTTCTTGGGGGCTGTCGCGGATGCGGGGGAAGCGCCCTTTTCCTTCTTGGCCTTCGGTGAAGTGCGAGACGAGCTGGGCGTCGGGGACTTGGAGACGCGCTTGGTGTGGCGATGTTCCTCCTCCTCGGAAGATGAAGTGAAAGAAGACTTGCGCTTGAGGTTGCTCCCTGGGGCGAGATTGCTCCGTGAGGTGAGGTTGCTCCGCGAGGTGAGGTTGTTCCGCGAGGGGTAACGCTTCACATCCTCGGCGAGTTCGATAGGCTGCTGTTGCTGCTGCTGCTGCTGCCACGGGACGCTGCATTTGTTGCTGCTGCTGCTGCTGCTGCTGTCGTTGTTGTTGTTGTTGTTGTATTCTTTTCTTTCTTCAGAAGTTGTAGCTGCAGGGGCCGTCTTCCATGTCGTCGTTGTTGTTGTTGTTGTTGTTGTTAGAGAGGTTGCAGTCCATGCTATCTGAGGGTCTTGTCAGTGGAAGTTTGTTTCTTATCGTTCTTGTCCGTTTTGGGGCAATAGGTGTTGGTATCAATAAGGGCAAGCGGTGTAGGGCGTTGCGAGGGGTGTGTTACACCCATGTAGTCGAAGGTAAGGTCTTGTGTTGTCGTGGGCACCTGTATGGAGAGCTCAACGGGGTTGATGGAGGGGCTGGCGGTAAGAGGCCGGTCTGGGAAGGCCGAGATCATGTTGCCCTCGTAGGGCTCAGCCTTGAAGCGACCTTCAGGCTCTTGCCAACGCTCAAACTTCTCATTTGGCCAGTTGAGAAGTGCACTCGTATCAAAGCAAGCGGAGCTGAGCGCAGGGGAATGGGACGTTGCAGGGGACCCCGCGGAGTCAGAATTGAAGTCGGGGTTAAAGTCGCAAAAGGAGTCTGAAAAAGTTGGCGAGAAGTCTGTATAAGTCTGCTGTAATGAGTGTTAGTCGAGTGCATTTGTACCATCGAAAAGTCTGTAAGCGGGTGTTGTCATGTTAACTTACGGGTTGGTCAGTGCTGTACGGCCCAGGGTAGATGAAGGGCATGGGATGGTTCATGTTTGGCCTCATGTTCGTCTGATAACGTCGGACAGAATCAGCCGTGTTTATTTGGCAGTGTGGTGTGTTTTGATGTTTTGCAGTTCTGGTATGGAGTGGTGATCCGAGCGTTGATGTGTTGTCTGTTTAATCGGACCGCTTGTCTGGTGATGATCAAGTGGTGTTTTGTTGCTTCTGGATGATCCTGGCGACGCAATGACAACCAGAGAGCAGAACATGTCTTATTTAGATCACAAACAACGGGTAGTTACCGCCACGGAAATGTCGGCCATAGGCAACGCAGTATGTAAGCCATCAGAAGGGAGTAGGTGCGATGCACACTAGTACATAATCGACCCATCCGTCATTCGACTCGAAGCGAAGTCTCGATTGTAATAGATACAAGGGTAGGCACCCGAGGCTCCGAGCTAGTAATTAGGTAGTGCACATGCATCTTGCAAGTTGCAACCGCCCCCCCCCTACGTAGTAGATTTAGCACGGTTAGTGGGGCAGAGCCACCCCTGCCGTACTGCGAGAGGGGGGGGGGCCTTTCCATCTGTAGAAGTGCTTAGGCATCTCCAAAATCCCCGGTGTTGAACCATTTGCGACTGCCAATTTACCGTCAATTGACTGTTCCGCCCTACGAAACATCTGGGCTTCCAAGCGTCCGGGAAGAATTAAATAGTCCAAAGATCGTAAACTGATAGCATATCTGTTTCTAAATACTGAAAAGGTCAAACGTGGGTTCACTGAAATGTTACCGAAGGCCGTAATACTTAAGTACAAGTCACCCAAAATACAAACCGTCCAAGAAAAATTCGTAAGACCCCCCCTCTCCCAGTACGCTCCGCAGAAACTTCCGTCATCTCTCCGCTTTAAACCTCGGAGCACGCCGGACAGGGCCGCCCCGGCAGCATCAACGGCTCCCGTCCCAATTGGCTAAAGCCCTGGCACTTCTGCGGAAATGTGACATCGTTAACCGCGACCTTTGGTATCCCCGGGTCCAGGTCAGGTACGTTCTGGTTTGAAGTGGCCGGCGCCGGCTGACACGGCGACCACGATGGGGTTTCAAAGCTTTGCCATGCAGTCATCAACAAGTCGCATATAGAATAAGGTCGAGACTTTCTCGTATGGGGTTTCAAACTTTCAATTAGCTATGCCGAGCATGTCTGGATCGGCTATTTTTGTCGCGCAACGTGGTGAAGTGCGGATCATCTTAATTTTTTACGCTACGTGTCAGCGAAAATACCATGTTGACGACGGCGGATGTGGTGTATACTTGAAAGCTTAAGTTTCCTGAGAATGGGTCACGGCATCACGATGCTCCCGGGTCTTGGGGCTTGTGGCTCGACGGTCGACCCAACATTTTGGCTCACCGCGCTGTGACCCTATGGAAATGAGGGCGCGGGATATCGTCAAGATTTCAGCTGGGGTGGATGGGCCGTTCGTGACTGTAACTCATCGAGATCCTTCTCCCACCCGTTGCCGTGTTCGGTCAGGAGGATTGAAGTGGTCGCGGTTGGCCGGTGCTCCGAGCTTATGGGTCAAGCGGGTACGGAATTGAGGTTGTAGGCGAAAGTCGCCAAAAAGGTGCCATAAGGTAGCTGATTGGAAAGAAGCCGCTGGAAGCCGCCGCGACGGCGTCAATCGCGGAGAAACATTTGCACGTTGACTCGATCGGGTGCTTGGCAAATCCCCTTCAGTTTTTTTGCCGTGGGTTCGGGCCTGGAGAGGGTGGGAACGGCATCTCTTTTGGGTTGGGTGTGTTTTTGTCGACGCGAGGTCGAGCGAACGAGAAAGGCTTGGAATCTGCTGTGTTTTGGGAGAATGGTTCGATTTTGACAAGCCCTACGATCCAGAACTGCCCGACCCACCTCTGTGACCCGCATAACGTGTGAGCGGAAATGGCCGTGGAACGGATTGTTAGTGTCGATGTACCGGAACAGCCACCTTCAGTGGACATGTACTAACAAACCATCTCGACTCTTTCTCGTGAACAGCGCACTTGGACACGCCCGACCCGATTCTTTCCTCGTCTCCCGTCCCCAGCCCGTCGATGCAGTAGTCACCGGATCCAAGTCAATTCCGACGAACAACAGACTGTTGAGAAAAATTTCATTCATTGGGGCCATTACCACTTCTTATGAGCCCATTGACGGCCATATAACATCCTACCGGAGGGGCTTGGTGGAGCACGTGCAGTTGGAAGAGTCCCCCACTCCCGTCCTGCCCGTCAAGCATCGCCATGAATGAACCATGAGCACCGCCATGACGCTGCCCGGTGGACCGGTTCGGACTTAACGCCAAACGGGCACCCGACATCCAGCGTGAAAGACCCGCCCGAGCTGCCCCACAAAATACCTACCGCCGCACCGGAGTGATGAACGGGATCTACGCCCCACCCGGCCGGAGTTCCGAAACTTCAAGGCGTTCGAGTACGGTAACGTCGCACCTTCAGCCAACTTCACAACGTCGGTGCCAGCATGTCTATACACTCATCAGGTCTTGAATCAACCATTCTGGTGATGGGATTTGCCACGAGGCGACGGCTTTGAACTGCAAATAGGCGACATTACCTGCGCTGGCGTTCATGATGAATACTCCTCTTCAGCATGCAATAATACGGTAAAGACAAATAACATCCCCGACCCCCTGCGTGGAGGCTTCAAGGTCTGACCAGGACCTACCATACTTCCAGGTTGTATGTCCCGTCACCGAAGGCTAGGTCCTATGAAGATTTGAATCCCGTCGCCTACATCAATTCACCTCACCCATTACCAAAACATTACCTGGCACTGAAGCAAACACTATTCTAAGCCACGACTACCAAATGCACGAGGTGCTCAAGTTTATCGCCCTCCGCATCAGCCTCTACAGTTCAGCAGTCCTAGGTACGTGCTTACACAATCACCACCGGAAAGTTCCTGAACTTGGCACTTGCAGATGACCCCATTCACCGCTCTCCGGCTGGCTAATCGGGTTCGTTGTTTGCCGCTGTGCCCGAGTTAGAGTCCCGTCAGTTTCGGTGCATGTCTGCGGGGCACCCGGTGAGAGAGGAGGCAATGGTTACTTTTACCGCTTTGGCGTGCGTTGGGCCAGTATGTGCGCCATAATCTTTTGTCCCCAGCCTTGATTAAAGACGTTGCAGCTCTCGCGCTAACATAAGAACATTTAGGGGTCGATCTGTGTATCTACCAACAACCTTCAACTTCCGTGGCACTGTTGTGTTAGAGCCGCTTGTTTCATCTTCATGTGCCTCGCAATAGGTACCTCGCTCAGTACGAATCTTCAACCTCTCCTGAGCCTGACATCTTCTCGCGGTCATGTCTTACAGGAAGCGCCGCGCCTGCTCAAGGCGGTGCTCCTTAGGCTCGCCACTGGCTCTTCTTTGCCGCAGCCCAAGAGACTCGGCAAATTCCCGGACCAAAAGACCTTCGAGAACTTTCTTCTAGATGTCCTCCTTGGGCACTGATTTGCCGGCAGTGCTGTGGTGCAAGTACGGACAAGCGCCTTAAGCACACAAGCGCCAGCAAGGAGCACCGATATGAGCGGGGGATCAGCAAGTCGACTTCTGACTGATATGATAGGTATGTACTAGGCGGTACACCGAGCCCGCTGGCTTATCTGTGCCCAAGAAGGTAATTGTTGGTGAAGGGGGGTGTGCTCATGTGCGAGTTTCCCAAGTGTCTTTTGGGCCCAGGACGGTCTATGGAGTCGTCAAAACACCAACAACACTAGTAAGGAGTCACATGTTTCTGTGTCTTCTTCCAGTTCCCCCTTTCCTATGCAGCTCCCTTCACGCCTCCATTCGCAAAGCAAAGTCAAACCTGGATCACATGTAGGAGGACAACAAAGGGACCATGCCGCAGAAGGTTGCCAAACGCTATCCCTCTTCAGGCGCCGAACATATGGCAGATATGTACAGGCAACTGGCAGGATCAAGCTGGTCGCTGTGCCTTAAAATGTGTGCAAGTTAGCGTGGAGGTTGGTGGCCTTCAGTTCTCACTAACTGGGCAGATACACTTGCTCGTATATTCTGGCTGAATGAGCTTCTTTCTGGCAGATTCCGTCATATGCCCGGGCCTCAAGAGTAGGATAGCATTTGGCGAGTTTCACAAGTTCCTACTGCACAAATCATCAAACACTCACTGGGGATCAGGACATCTATACCGCTATTTTGAACCAGGTCAAGTTCCAAAGTCGAGAGTTTCATCTGTCACATGAAACTGTTCACTGGCAGAAAAAAAATAACACCTCGCTAACCCGGCGTCCCGGACCCTGGAAAGATGTGTGAGGAAAGAATACCGTCATCCACCCTAGGGCAATGTTAGGCGTGAAAGAAGGTGCAGAAAGATCTGGAAGCCGGGGTCTGGTATGCTAGTCCTGCTTGATGGTGGCGGAACCACATGAGGCTGCACTGTTGCACATATCACCTCACTGGACCATGGTTGGATTGTCCACAATCAATGAAAACCATGTCAACCTTCATCGACAAAAGCCTGTTATACCATTTACCCATACACCTCCTGCCAAAGCTGGGGATAGGAGGATTGGATGAGACTCGATGTGGTATCCCGGGTCGTTCACGTTTCATTCTCAGGACCGCATCATGAGACCAAAGTTGCAATCGCTTCAAAACACATCAGCCACTTCAAGGGACACTCAGCGCCCCAAAGACCTTCCAGAAGCGAACAAAGAAACAAACCAAAAGAAGGAAGTCTTTTTTTGCATTTGTCTTGGTAATTGAACATTCTTGTAAAGCTAACATGCAGGCACAGATGAATCACCTCGAAATAGGACATTGTCCTACGAAGTTCTTCATTCATTTGGAAGCGTCTTCTTGTTAATCAGCACTCCCGCAATGCCATTACTGGTCGAAACCAGAAAAAGCCACGCGCCCGTTATGTTCCCGCTTTCCAATTCGGGATTTGCGGCTCTTGGAGGCTATAATGGGGTATAACGTTAATATCTGCCGCCATTTAACCTCCGAGTATGGCCTCTGATATGTCGCCGTCGCCTTCGACCTCAATCTGCGGATAAAGTCAATTGGCAACTCAGATCGTCACCTCTCCACCACTCGCCGCCTCCGCATTGGCGATTCACCCACGTCTCAATATGTCGTCTGCATCAGCGCCCAGCATGCGATCTTCTGGTTCTGGTGGTTTTACCTGGGAGGAAGCGTCTCGAGGAGGAAACGTCTCCGTGGTTCTTTATATGAAGGGCGACGAAAAAGCATGGCGTCACGCGGTTCGCCCGTCCATTGACATGTATGTTATACCCCCTCGGCTCGACACATTTGCCTCCGAGATCCTGGTCGGAGTATCACCGCGACCGGGAAAACGGATTGTCGATAACAGGCCGCTCGCTATATATAACTTTGATGGCTGCGTCAACACGTAAACACGATGGATTTGAGTTGCATACATAAGAGCAAAACTTCCCGTCTTTCTTTGATTCAGCTCACTCAGTGTCTCTGCTCTCCGTATTTTGATCAGGGAGTCTCTCTCACAGACATTCCATCAGCGCGCATAGCAAGGTTGACAGTCACTCGGCGCTTAGATCTTTTCCCCGAGGACGTAGCTCGTTTATACAGCAAAAAGAAGAATGATCTGGAGCATATTATTCGCGGTCTTCGCGACCTTACTGCGCAGCGGTAAGCCTTTTCATGTTTCTTTGGATGATTTCAGACTCACTGATAGCCAAACAGTATCTGCTGCCGAGTCCGTCGCCGTCTACGACTCCGAAACCGGGCTCACCTACTCCCAAAACTTGGCGTTGTACAAGGCCGACGGCCGCGGGATAGCCTTCCGCGTCGCCATCTCGAGCGATGTCTCCAGTAACTCCGCCTACGACGCCGTGGTTCAGGTGATTGTCCCCAACGATGTCGGCTGGTCTGCCCTCGCCTGGGGCGGCTCCATGACCAAGAACCCCCTAATGGTCTTTTGGAGGGGATCAAACAACCAGCCCGTGATCTCTTCGCGTTGGGCCAAGTAAGTAGAAACTTGACGGTCGTCGTCACCTGCACCAATGGAAATCCCACATGCACATCCTCATGCCAGGCACAAAACCTCCGATGTCAGTTTCATCAGCATGCTGCCTAGATCCACACATGCAGTCTGCGACGGCCTTTTCGAACCCATTCTCCGCCCTTAATCATGTGCCAGCTTGCACAGCGGCGGTGCAGAGTCACCCTTCCTAACTACTAACCAACCAAAATCAAATGGGAATCCGAGCCTTAACCGCGCTTCCACCCTTCACCATGTGACTGTGCACAACGGCGGTGCACATAGTCACTCATCCAAACTGACCAACCAAAATCATATGAAAATCAAACCTCAACGTCACTTCACTTCACTTCACTTCACCTCAGTACCTCATCACTAACCTCCAATCTCAAATGAACCTCTAGCGCCCACTCAACACCCCAATCTTACACCGGCGCCACCTACACGCTCTTCAAGACGGGCACCAAATCCAACTCGACCCACTGGCAGTTCACGGCCCTCTGCACGGGCTGCACCTCGTGGTCCGCCGATGGCGGCGCCGTCCGCTACGTCCAGCCCAGCGGCGGCAACAGGCTGGCGTTTGCGTACTCCCCGACTAAGCCGTCGAACCCGTCCAGCCCGACGAGCGCGATCACGGTGCATGATGTGCATGCGTACTGGAATCACGATTTCAATACGGCGAGGAACACAAACTTTGAGGCTGCGGTGCAGAAGTTGTTGGGGAACAAGAAGTTTAAGGCTTAGGGGGCTGGGGGGAATGAAAGGAAATGGGGGTTTGAGTGAGATGGGAGGTTATAGGGGTACATGTAGTGCGCAAGGTGCTTGAAGGTGGTGGAGGACAGAGTGTCGGCAACTATTGTCGCGAGACGAGTGGATGCGATGTTGGGTTCTCTCAGTTGTAGTGTTGGTCATGGGGATGGCTTGATAGGGGGCAATGAATTAGAGCATACCGTAGAAGCTTGTGGAACTGGAAGAAGTCATTCACTCCTTGAGCGCATGCATTACGCCAGAAATATCTCTGTGGCAGAATTCAGCACACAGTTCCGGTCAGCTAGCATCTGTGTGCCTGTGTAAGGGAAGTTAGAGAGGTGCAGGTGGGCGACGTCCTCCGAATTTGCACCGGGTGAACAGAAAAGTTGGCTGCCCCTGGCTGACTGTGTCTCGCGTTATGTCCTGTCAGGTCTCCTGCAGAGATGGGGAGGCTGAGCAATTTTCGCGTGTTTCTACGCGCAGAATTTTGCGGTAGTACCGGTGTTATTGAGGCCACATGTACAGTGTACCTATGCAAGAAGAAAACTATGATTTTGATTGGAGCGAAAAGTTACGCCCTTCTCTCTTTTCCGTGAATGCGTCTGGTTTCAACTTGCTCCTCCTGACCTTGTATACATGCAGTGGTGCATGTGCATCATCCCTCCAAAATTCCAGCACATGAAGCTTCCATCAACCTCCACGGTCCACGATCTTGCTGTTCAACGTGTTTGTTCGCTTAGAAGAAATACCCGACGAAGTTTGTCGGGATTGATGAGTACTAGCATTAAGTGATAGCTACGGAAATGACAGTAGGACTGCGGTTATTGGCGAGTGTCCATAAAGCTATCTCGAGGTGTACACTTGTGGGTGTCTCATCACGAGCATGCATCACAAGTCGGGCCCCTTGTTTTTATTATTCACCCCATCGGCAAACTGTCCAAGTGAGCCACGGAGGGATAATGGATGATACTTGGAAGGAATTTCTGATCAACTAGGAGGTTATTATTCTGCATGGAATTGTCTTTTTTTCGTGAAGTGTCTTGTCCCATTCGTTTTCGGAATGGGAGTCAAACAGGGGTTTCCTCCCAAGGTGGGCTTGATAATAGACCAACTGAACATGAATAAACGCCCAACTCCTTTGTAAAACTCAGCTAGCACCCTGGAGAAGACTTCCGCAACCATGGATTCTCAATATTGCGGTCAGAGGGATGTTTCCTCGTCGTCGTCGTCAGGATCTTCTGAACAGTCTTTCAAGACTCAACCTCCAGAACCGCCAATTTCTGTCACTAACTTCAGCTATATCGACAACGACCGAGATGACACTGACCCAGCCACTAATACGAGCGGGGAAGGAACAGGAACAAGGTTTTACACTGCGCTAGAACGGCCATTATCATCACCATCACCCCGAACATCACCATCGCCGCCAGCAACATCATCCCACAACTGGCATCCCACCACGAACCCAGGTCTTTCAAACAACCATCGTTACCACCTAATCTCCTCTGAGCAATCAGAAACGGAAACTATCTACTTCTCTTACCCCCATGACAGCAATGACAGTGACGGCGAATATTCTTGCCTTTGTCTCCTTCGCATACTCATCAGGGCAGTCCTCAACCTAGCAAACGGAATCAGATCCATAACTATGAAAGTCATTGCTTATCTCAGAACCGGTGCGGATTGGGTACCACCAATTCCACCGGCGTCCGAGTCCGATTCAGATTCTGGAGGAGGCTTGGACCAACGGGGAAAACGAAGAAGAAGACAGAAACGGAAGGGGCCTCCACCCCCTATTTTTGTGCCGGCCCTTCCTTCATTTCGAGACAGACATCCAGCCGGGGAAGATGAAGCTTGGAGGTACGAGCAGGGACGAGAAGGGGATGTGCCACTGCGAGTGTTGGGGAACGGAGTTGCTGCTATCGGGGAAAGACTGGCTGCTACCTCTAGGAACATGCAAGTGGAAGGTGAGAGAAGTGACCATGATGCTTTGGATAGAGAAGGAAGAAAAAAGTGGAAGGGGAAGAAGGCCGTTGAAGCAGAGGAACGTTCGAGGGTGGTTTTGGGAAGGAACGAAGGGGATCCAGGGAAGTTGCGAAGGGAACGTACGTTCCGGTACAACCTGATCGGAGGGGGACGGTGTGGCAGCCGTGAGCTCTTCCTTAAACACTGTAGGATCTAATTATGAGCATGGAATACCAGAAAGGAAAGAGAACCAGCAGACCATACTTGAAGATCCTGTAGGAACACCTACAAAAAAAGGAAGTATTTTCGTGTGGTCGATCATCGGGCCAGAGTAAACTCAGACAGTCGTGGAGGGAAGGAGAAAGAACGGCGGTATCTTTTTCTTGAAGGATAGAGAACTGCAACCAGACGAGAACGGAGGAAGACGTGGGTTTTGGTTTCCTGAATGGAATCATCAAGCAGAGGTTCTTCCCTGAACATGAAGGGACAACCGAGTGGCAGAGGCGATGCTTAACAGCACTTGACATCACACATTTTCGATGTCTAATGATATTTTTTCCATGGCGACTCCCTCTGCAATGCTTGAATTCGTGACGAGAATCTCCCGTCTGAGAAGCACAGCATCTCGCGGCTTCTTGCTTTTGTTCGACCTGCGACATCTGGTACGAGATATCAACGGTCCGCGGGCCCCCTTCCTGCACAACTTTGGTTTCTCGATGACATGCAGGTGCCTCCCAACCTTCCCGGGCCGTTTACGGACCCGACGAGGCCAATCCACCACCAGTGAGCTCCGGTATCCCGGACCGACGGTCTAGCCTGCCGGCATCTTTTTCCATTCTGCCATCCGGACTTCAAACCTCAGTGCCCCTCCCCGTCTTCTGGCGCTTTTCGCTCCTTACATTGGCACAAGGGTAGTTGAGGAAGGAGCGCAGGGGCAGCCCACCCGACTAACACGCCCTGCCACCTGCCAAAAGCACCTGACGCTGGCAGACACCGGCTCACCGCCGGTGCCGCCACCCAGCCGGAAGGCCCCATATAAGGGTCGATACCAGACCTCAACACCACAACGCGGGCCTATAGCTGTGTATAGCGCAGTGGTTCCAAGTCCCGTTGATGAAAAATTGCCGGATGCGCGGTATCCGAGGTACATTTTCGTAGGTCGCCGACTGGAGGATTGAGGTTCGTTCCGCAAGCTCAACAGGGCGACTTAGCTTTTTGCCATTTTTGTCGCCATCACTTTTTTGCTGAAAGTATTTTCATTGTGGTCATCGGGTTTTGTCTTCCTTTCGCAGTTTTGAGCAATGTCCCCATCGCATATTCCGGCTGGGGCAAAAGGGGTCCGATATGTACCTTCCATTCGATGCGAAGCGAGTAATGAAGGCATTCCCAATGCGCAGACGAACGACAAGAAATGAAACTTCTAAACCAAATTCGCGAATGATCAACTTACTTGGGTCGCTGCCTTCTATTCAACGTCTTGTTTGTGTTGGCAACGAATGACATCGATGATCAAATCGCAATTGCTGCTACGAGGCAATGATGCACGCATCGTTTGAGTTGTCGAAGGCATTGGTATCAACTCGACTGCTTCGAGTACAATTCAGAAGACATTCCTATACACGTATCTACCATTTTTCCCAACTCGCTGCCGGACATACCCCTTTTATCACTGGAATCTGACCGTTCTGGACCCTCCAACTCAAGTCGGCCACTCACATATGGTTCGACAGACTTTGCAAAAGTCAAGAACAATTGGATTCAGCATGTGCCGGTAGGGTCTGAGATGAGGCTGTAAGTTCTTACAACTATGGTAACCGAAATGTATTTGTTTACTTGGTCGGGGAAGAACGAGGGCATTCAGAATTGCCTATAACACCTCAGCTGCATGACGTAAGTCAACACTCTTATCTTATCGCCTCCTTACCGGCATTCCTATCTCCGCTGCAAGCAGGCACGAATGCCTGCCCCATTATAAACGTGATACCCCTCATCGCAACTACTTCCGATGTCCTTTCTTCCCTGAACACAGTTTTCTATGTTTGCATCTCAGAAATATTTTATCATCAACACACCGCTTTTTTATTGTGTTCTAACAAATCAACAACCACTATGTGCGACGTTCACTACAAACGACCAACGTCCCTTGGTAACATAACCTAGCTTCATTGCGACACGATCTTCTTCCCACAGCGGTACAGCCTCAACTCGTTCCGATCAACACTATTTCCTACATATTTGCTTACGCCAACGCATCTCATGCCACAAACTCTGTAAGAATTTCTCCCGGCGAGCAATAACAACAATCATGACACCAAGTCATCACCAGTACCCGACGTACCGACTCGACCCTGTCGGCTGATAATATCCCGACCACCCGCCTGAAGCGCGAGAATCTGGTGTCCGTGGCAACCGAATTGTACCATCATCGCTCGAGTAACTGTCAAACCCACGATAACCCTGGGTCCTGCCAGTATTCCTCCGCGGAGAAGGACCATAGCCTCTCCAGGTTCCAGAGCTTCTGTCTCCGAAGCTGTCATCATCTCTAACCGACCGACGACGGCCGAACTGGTTGTTCTGTTGACGCCGGGGAGGCGATGGTCTCAGACTCCTTCGGACTGGAGACGGCGGCCTGAAGACCCAAGCCGACCGAGTCGAGCGCGTCCGTATCGGATCCCGGTCCGGACTACCTGTAATGGTGAGAACGTGACTGGGCTGAAGCATGGTTTGGTCTATCCAACTGTATCGAAAGAACGGTCCCGGCATCAGATTCCACGTCATTCTGTGACTCGTCTGGATCAACCCTGCGTATGTCTAAACGGGGATGACGGATGAGTTGGTTGTTATCGTTGTTGTTGCCCATTTTGTGTACCTCCGTGCCGCAACTCAGTTGAGATGATCAAGTTGGCTAAGCTCCGTGTTGTTGAACAAGCAGTATCCGGGACTTTTGTGACGGCGAACGGTGATGAGAAGTGATCTCTGAGCTTGAGTATACTTTCTACTTCTCTGAGAAATTAGCAAAATTTGAGGAGTAGAACGACCCTCATATAACCGTCATGCGACTATATGAAGCTCCATTTTCATATTTCATCAGATCTAGCCCTCCATTACCCCGACATTGTTGACTGGGTCAGCTGGGACTGTCCCGACTTTCACTACCTCAAGATCATTCCCAACAGGCACTTAGAAAGTCTCCATGAGCTAGTGTTCATATTGTCTTTTTCGTCCTAGTGGCTCGAGCGGTTGCGTAGTAACTGGTATCGAACGAGGTTGGCTATACGTCGAACTTGGGTAAGTTTCTGTACACTCAACTGAAAGGCGTTATTGAAGTTCATTACGGCTAGATAGCCGCGGCGGAAGTAGATTGCTCGGGTAGTGCGCAAGACGCTGCATGGCGTGACAAAGGATCTGGCTGTTGGGTTTCACAGGTACCATGTAGCTTCCAACAGCTCTAATATGCCAACAACTCGTCCCAGATCTTTTATCGCTCTTCGTGGTCCCGCGACATCTCGCGGCGGTAAAAAACAAAGGGACCACGCTTGTAAAAGTTGGGTTATGGAGCATTTTGACAAAAGTATGATGCTGCAAATGTTTCGAAACAACAGTCTAATATTTACACTTCTGTCCAGATTCACTTCACGTTCACCATGCCAATTTCCAATTTCAAAGTACGATACCCATGAACTGCCATTCTTATTTCCCACTCATAACTGCATAACAGTGCGAACCAGCGCACAAGAACACCTGCCTATAATTCCCATGATCTTAGACCAAAAACACCCTATCCGAGTCCCTTCCGTCTCATTCCAAGCTCCTTGGTCAAGATCCTCATTCCATCAATGCATAATACCAACAATCCTTTCAGTGGAACAATTATCCACCCAATCCAAGCCTGCTTAATGGGTGGAGTGAAAATTCCTGAACTCTCTGCCGTGATGGGAGGATATCGAACCATTGCCGTCATAGACCACCCGTAGCTGCCTGTACCCTATATTTAGAGTGCGCCCAGTTGTCCTCTTGGCTATTTATGTTATCTTCCACATCAGTGATTACGGCCCTGAGTCACATGCTTCTTCCACATCTTTGGAGGCATATAGCCACAGCTGCCTGATGTCGCTTTGCCGTAGTTTCTGGATTTCAAGAACGGGTTAGCGAGAAGAGCTGTAGGACTCGATGCAGAGAAGTCTTACCTTGACTCAGTACGCGATTGGGAGCTGCTTCCCGCAGGTGGTCCGTGTCTTGACCGCGAATGGCCAGTTCCGTCATAACGATCATCAGCTTGGCGTATGGCTGCCGGAAGAATTCTGTATGGAATCCGTTCTGCGCGAGAGATTGGTGTTGACGCCGGTGATCTTTCTTCCCTTCGTTCTGCAAGTCTTTGAGCCGCTTCGCATCGTATTCGTCCTCTTTATATACCCAAGCATCATCAGACCTTGGTACTGTGGCTTCCGTTCCTGCAACACTCGCCGCATAATCGCTTTGTTGTCTTGTTTCCAGGTAAGAAGAGTCCCGGTCCCATCTGTTTTCAACACTATCGGTCAATTTCATTTTCACTTGTTCAAGTAATGGCTTGTGACGTACTTGACATGAGAATCGTGATGAGCCGGGTGTTTGTCTCGATCAACAATATCGAATGCAGTGCTTCCCATATATTGTGACGCCCGCTTGTTAAATCCGTCGTCTTTTTCCATTCCGCTAGTAAATTGGTCGTCGCTTCGAGTGTCAATGGGCTGAAATCCATACGAAACTGGGAGTGACTCTGGATGGGTAGTTGAATTGTGTTGATATTGCGTTTGTGACGTCCTGTATCCGGTTCTCTCGTGTTCGTAAAGGTTCTGGTGACTGTGGATTTGACCGTCATACCTTTGCATCTGCTAACGGCTGTCCCGTACAACGAGTTGCCCATGGTGATGGGAGTCATGACGTGACTGGCTTTCTCTCACCATTGTGGGTATTGTGTGGTGAAGTACTGGGCTTTGCTTGGTTATAGCGAACTGACGATGGCCGTGGGTAAGGCAGCCAAAAGAATTCGAGAATGCGAAGGAGTTCAAGCAACAATGTTGCTGATGAATGGGTGGTGTACGTGTGATTAATGACTGCATCCGATAATCGTCAGCGCGAGAGGTCGCTGTTCTTATACTTCATGATGGTCATGAGGAGACACAAGGGCATTTGGCGAGTATCGTCACAAGACACTCCTGGAATATCTCAATATCGCGAGGAAAATCGATAAGCACAACCACCCATCATCTTCACAAAGCTTTAGCTGGCGCCTATAAGTCAGTGTTGTCTCTTCTGTTTTTCCCTCGAGAACCTGAAGCCAGTTGAAGCATGACCAAAACTGCCTCACGGGGCTCCAGTTGAGGCGGTAATCTCCTCCCGGGCTAGGAAGTACTCACCCATGTCAGAATCTACAAATTCTACAACTGAGCTGGATGGGAAAGGTGTGTAATAACTCGCTTATGACTTATCCTCTTTCAGCGAATCTCTCCTCTCATCCATGAATCGAAGGTCGCCATTGATCGCTGGTGCTATTGTTCAGTGGTCGGATTTGCATTTGATCCGATATTGGGCGCGTGGAAAAGGGCAGGCGTCAAGTTGCCTGACTAGAGGCATGCGCCCAATTCTTTCACTGAGTGCTTCGCGGATCTCGATCGGAGGGACAACCGCCGTGGGGCGTGTTCGTTGAAACGGCCCGTAAAAACACTGAACAAAGGACGAAGGACCGGACTGTTGGTTCCATATGCAAGCATGGCCATACAACACCAACCGCGAGGTTGCGAGAGGACGACCTATGACGTTCTCTTGTATTTCTCAGTATATTATGCAACGAATGTTGGAATTTGGGGAGTGTCTGCATTGAAATGTAGAAAGAACAACACGCCAAGGGCGCGATGTCGGAGAGTTGCCGAGAACTGGCGAAAGTTAGCGCACTATTTTGAAATACCTTGAAACCACTCTAGATCTGTTAGTAGTACCTGATCTCATTTGCGCCCCCCCCCCCCCCCCCCCCCTTTCCTTTCCACAAAGGCCAACCAATCGCCTCTCCATTCCGTTCGAACCAACAATGCGGCAACGATACAAATCGATGACTATCCTCAACGTAGTTCCCTCACTAAATACATGTATCAGTACCTCTATTTCCACTTCCCCAGCGCTCACTGCCATCTTGGCGCTCAAAGACCTTGCTTTCTTCGCGTCATTCCCGCCACCACAACCTCTCTCGTGCTTAAGAGGTCCAGAGGTGACCAGATGAGTGACAAAGTTGGATATCGATTAAGCGCTTCCTGTGCTGAACTCGGACCTCATGAATCGTTTGTAGCTTGGTAACCTTTGATGATCATGCACACCCGTTCCTTCATCCAGTCGCTCATCGTGACTCGTGAAGAAACAAATCCGGTGAGCCATCGTGTAGGTAGTTGATGTCTCGATGATAGGTGAAGGATGCTGCCAGGCCTGCTCCTCCATCCAGTCATTTATGCGTCTCGTGAATAGGGGATTTGGGAATTCATCGCGCGGAATTCCTCTGACCTCGACAACTCAGGATATTGTGAAGGGTTTCGCCAGACTGGTTACCTAGCCACCAAACACTCGATAACCACCATAGCACAAGCCAGTGATGCCCATTGTAAACATGCTCGGCAATTCTCCATGAACTCCTTTCACGGCCCTGAATTCCCTGAGTCCCAAATACAACCATAAAACGCACCCCCATCCTCAAACCCTCCCCCTCAAAAAATCTTTTCCCAGCCAGACCCCATCCACCAGACGTACGAAGAACCAAGACCCTTCCAGAAAAAGAAAGCTTCACACATATAGTCAGAATGTCACGCTACCGTCCCTCAGGACGCCAAGTACCCGGCCACGATGACTCCCGGTCCAGACATAAGCCTTTTCACCCTTTTAACCCTTACCCTCCCCATCTCCCACCTTCCAAGCCCTCTACAAGTAACCCCATCAGATAACCTGAGCTAACTTATACAAAACAGAGTCATCCCACCACAACGCCCCAGCAGCGGTAGCCGTTACGGCGGCGGTGGCGGCGGCGAAAGCAGGGCCCGCACCTTCCCAGCAGACGAATACCTAGCCTACAGCTCCGACGACGCCTCCTCCTCCGACGATGATTACTACCGCCGCTCCTCATCCGGGAGAGCTCCCGGAGACGGTCCGAGCGGCAGTAGCCGCAGCCATGGCTACGGTGGCTACAGCTCCGACGACGACGACTACGCAGCCGACTCCGAACGCGGCTACAGCCGTGGTGGAGGTGGACCTTCGCAGTCCCGCGCTCCTAGTTCTAGGGATGATAGTCGTCACGGTTACGGCGGCCCGTCTGCCTCTTCATCTTCTCATCGCGACCAGGGCTGAGACGAGGGCCGCTACTACGCTCCTGCTCCTGGCGGCTCGGGCAGTTCTAGTCGCCATCATGATGACCGTGGCCATGGTCGTAATTCAGAAGCGGGTCACTCCTCCTCGCGTCATCACGGGGGCGACATGCGCGGAGGAGAGCCGAGAGGTTCGGAGCGCGACGGTCGCCGCGAGATACCCTTTCGGTATGTGAGTCCGTTTGAGATGGGTTTCGGTGGTGGATCGAGAGAGCGTGGTGGCGGTGGTGGTGGTGGTGGTGGTAGGAGTGATCCCTTTGATGACTTTTTCTCACGCTCTGGACATCGCCGCTCGAGTGGACGTGATGATGGGTTTTTTTTTTGGAGTGATGGGTTTTGGTGAGGAGGTGTGTGTGGCATGGCTAGGGTTATTAGCTCTAGGTATCTAAATAATGGGAAGGAACATTGGTAAAGGGGACGAAGGAAATGCTGAGGAAGCATGGAGGAATCGAAACTAGAGGAGGCACATGATAACAACGAATGGAATGGTGGTTGACTAAGGTGATGCTTTTGATGCTTCAGTCCTTCGAAAAAGGCGCTAATTATCGCTTCTTGTATTATCCAGTGACACTACTGATTACTATTGAATGATCTTACCATCGACTATTTGATGGTGATATGCTGTACCGCGGTAAGCCACTTTTGCTCGTCCGTCCTGTGAGAAAGAAGTTAGCATCATCAGACCCGTGAATCACATACAACGGAACACAACTTACTTGTCAAAATTCAACAACTTGCCCAATACCGGCACCAGCTGTGCCCGTAGCCTGTTATCTTTCTGCTCCAAGAACTGCAGCAGAATAGTCTTCAGGTACATAGCATCGGGCGTAGCATTTGCAGACCCGATCGAGTTCGACCTCGCCGAGTCCACTGAGCCCCTGCTTCCACTACCCGCCAGACTGGGCATGCTTGACAGCTTGGTCTGGACTGTCTTCAGCTCCTTCTGCACCTTGTCGTATCTCAGGCGGTAATCATCCACGGCTCTTCTGAGCTCGGCGTTCTTCTTCTCCGTTTCCCGGACGAGGAGTTCGCTAGCGTCGAGGGTACTCCTAAGGTTCGACACCGTTTGCCGCATCTCCTCGACTTCAGCATTGGATCTCTCTTCAACGCTCTCCAGCTCGTCCCTGCGCTTCTTCCACTCCCTCTCCCTGTGCTCGAGTTCGTCCTTCTCGCTTGCCAAGCTCTTGACCTCTCTCTCAAGATCACGTACCTTTTGCTTGAGCTCCTCCGTCTCTCGAGACTTGCGGCGAGCGAGCGCGCTGGTCTCCTCTTCGATGCGGTCCCTCTCCTCCACCGCCGCCTCCATCTTGGCGCGCATGTCACGGACCTTGCTGTCCGCACGCTCGTCCACATCCTGGAGAAGACGACGCATCGTTTCGGCCTCGCGGGTGCGCTCGCTGAGCATCTTCCTCGTCTCAGCCAGTTCCTCATCCAAGCTCTCGCATTGACCCTGTGCCTCCTTCAACTGGATGCTCAACTCGGCTGTCTGGTCGCGCATGCTGCCTAGCAGGTTCTGGGCGCTTGTGTATTGGGTGCTCTTGAGCTGGACTTCCTCCCGCATCATGTCACCCTCCTTCCTAAGACGGTTAACCTCTTCCTCCAGCTCGCGGATGCGTGGGCGAAGCTTGTTAGCTTCCTCTTGCACGCGCTGCAGCTCCCGGGCGGTCTTCTCTTCACGGGCGGCAATCTCAATTTTCTCTGCCTCCGACCTGCGAAGGTCGCGGCCCAGAACCCGCTTCTCATCCTCGAGCTTGAGGCGCGCGTTTGTCTCTTGACCGACCTTGTCGTGGAGGGCCTTGATCTCGCCATCACGGTCAGCGGCGAGACGCTGAGAACGGACGAGATCAGCCTTAAGGTCTTTCTCACGCTTCTCAAGGTTGCGAAGGTCCGCGTTCCGAGCAGAAAGTTCCTCGCGCACTGTCTTGAGGGTGGCCGCCTCCTGGCGAAGCGACTTGAGCTCGGGTTGAGCCTTTTGAAGAACCTCGCGCAGATCAGTAAGATCCTTGTACCGACCTTGGGCAAGCTGCTGCGCGGCGGCAAGGTCGGACTGGAGAGTCTGCGACTTTTGCTTGAGATCGTCAAACTCTTGACGGAGTGATTCGTGCTCTGACTGGAGCTTGGTATTGGTCTGAGCGGCCGAAGCAGCCGCATCCACCTCCTTCTCAAGCTCATCAATCCGAGCCTTCAGTTCCTTCTTCTCCTGCTCCAGTTCCTTCAGGCGTTGCTTGGTCTCAACATGCTCGAAACCAATCTCCTTAAGACTATCTTGCAAGTTCTCAATCTCTTCACGGAGATCCTCTTCGGTCTTACGTTGCTTAGCAAGACGCTCAATGCGCTGGTCCTTGTCAGCGAGCTCTTCTTGCAAGCGGGAAAGCTCTTCCTTCAAGCGGTCGTGCTCGGCTTGGAGCTCCGCTGTGAGCTCTGCCGTAGCGGTGCCTTCAGTGGATTCCGCGGGTGCTTGATCCTCAGTGGCGGCCGGCTCAGGAGCAGTAGCTTGTGGTGCGGGCGCAGCACCACCCTTCTTCTTCTTTTTGTTGTTCTTCTTCTTGTTTCCGGTCGGTTGCGTAGGGGTGGAAGGCGTAGGGGGTGCGGTAGTGACAGCAGCAGCAGGGACGGCAGAGGGCGCAGGGGTGGACTTGATCTTCTTCTCCAGCTCGTCAATCTTGGCCTCATCTTCAGTCTTGGCCTTCTTGAGGGTCTCAATCTCCGAAGTCAAGCCTTCAATCTTTGTATCGAGTGTGGACTTGGCCTCGGTGATCTTCGTGAGTTCAGACTGAAGCTCCTCGTTCTTAGACTCCGAAGCAACAAGCTTGGCATCCTTCTCCTTGCGCCCAATAGCGGTTTCCTCCTTTTCCTTCTGCAGCTGTGTCTCAACCTCCTTGAGTTGGGACTGAGTCTTGGTCAAGCGCTCTGTCAACGACTCGATCTCGGTCTTCCTGGCTTCAAGTTGCGTCTCAATCGAGGCCTTGACTGCGGCAGCATCTCTCGCTTCACTGAGTTCGCTACTGGCCTTTTCAAGGCTCTCAGCGAGTTCGGCGCTGTGGTCCTTGGCCGCCACCAGCTCTTCCTTCAATGTCTTGACCTCGGTCTGCAACTTTTCAACCTCCTCGGTCTTGGTCTTTAGCTCAGCTTGTAGCTCCTGGATTTCTTTGTTATCGCCGTCCTTGGCTTCAGGTGCCTCTTGCTTGTCGTCGGTCTTCTCATCCGGAGTCTTCTCAGCAGTAGGTTCTGCATCCTTAACGTCCTTCGCTGCCGCAGCTTCGGCTTGCGCAGCCTTGAGAGCAGCAATCTCCCCCCTCAGCGCAGCAGCCTCCTTGTCGGCTTCTTCTGCCTTCTTCTTGTAGCTGTCTTTCTCGCCAGATACCCGCTTGAGCTCATCCGTGTACATTTCGCTCTTAAGGTTCAGCTGATTTAGGTACTCGATCAAAGCTTCGGGATCCTTGATTGAAGTCAAGGGGGTATTCTCTCTGAGTGCCTTTTCGAACGGTTCGATGGAAGTCGCACGGCCGTGGGCAATCCGGTAAGATCGTAAAAGCTCTGCCATGCTTGTTAGCGCACACGTTCTGCACTGCTGTAGTCCCCAAAGGAGCACGGACCTGGGTATGTCTTTTCCAACTTATCCAACTTTCTCAACCTCACCCGGATCTCTGGCGAGAGCTCAGAGGTAGTAGAAGGTGTGAGTGTCGCCGATCGTGACGTCTGCCCTGCGGCAGACTTGACGCTTGACCTGTCTCCATTTTGTAGCGGATCGGTGCCTTCTTTGACGGGTTCGGTATTTCTGGCCGGTGTTTCGGGATCTTTGCTCTTTCCTTCCTTCTCGGTCGAGATAGGTGTGCCGACACGGGACGGGGTGTTGGTCTCGTCTGTATCATCGACCACGAAGGCGGCCTCGAAAACGGCAGGGTCAGAAGTGGCGGCGGTTCCATCGGCGGACATGTCTTGACTTGGATTCTGAGAAGGTCGAGGTCTCCTGGTTCCAGCAGCACTCGGGGTCCGCGATAACGAGCTCGAGTTTCGTACGTGAGAACTGCCGGGGGCACCGCCTTCGAGGACTGCTTTCGCGCGAGCCTGTTCTTCCGCAATGGTGCGGTCGATGGCACCCTTTATTCTCTGTGAAAGCCACGACATGGTTAGTACCTGTCTACGTCATGGCAACAGTGCAGGTCATCGAGAAGGGAGGTGCATGCATACCTGCAACATGGTGTCTTTATTCTATCCAAGAGCGCAAGGCCACGGGGATAGGCGCGGCTGCTGTGTCTGTCGTTCCGCGTTATGTACGAAGTCGGAACTGTAAGTAGGGAGGCGCGCGGGCGCACTGACACGTTACCGGCGATCAATCTTCGCGGGTGCCTGTTTCGTGGAAGGTCAAAGGGTGAGGAGGTAGGTAGGATGGAAGACTTCAGGAGCTGCCAATGGATGCAAGGCGCAACTGGCAACGGCGGCAAGTTAAATGTAAGTACAGTATAAGATACAAGGTAAGGTACCTAAAGCCAAACGGTTTGGGTATTAAGATGCGCCAGAGAGCATTGGGCTACACCTCAGTGTGTAACAACAACAACAACAACAATTGAGATAAAAGAGATCAAGTAGCAATAGCAATGTGCTCTCGGGTTGACATGTTAATACCTGAACTGTATCATGATGTTCGGGGACAAAGTCCAAGTCGATTTATTTCAAAGAGAAGTCCCGGTCGGAATGGACTTTGGGCATGGCCTTGTGATGCACTGTAGCGGGAAGTGTAGCAACCCCCGGTTAGCAATTGCCAAGCCGCCCCTCCCCTCCTGTCAGGGGCAGCTCAGCGGCGGCAGGCAAGCCCATCGGGCAGTCCATCATTAAGAGAGGAGCACGGGCCAGTCAAGTGCAAGTCTTGGCAGCTGGGTCAGCTTCATTTCCAAACGGCTTGGCTGCCCAGATGCTTTGACCACGCGGGGGCCATGTTTGCGGACGATGCCTGTCAAGATCGGAACAACGGGGGCTTTGCCTCTCTGGAATCCTGGCCAAAGATAGGATTGAAGATCCACCGGAGATCGGGCCAAGTTGTAATGACTTGCATCTAACGAGCCTCACATCGGATATGATGAGATGGCGTTATTCAATGACAACAACACTGGCCATTGGAAGTCTCACTGTTTTCACAAGTGGCCATCCCCTCTTTCTGGAAATGAAAAGGTTGTTGGGTTCTTTCCATCTTGTATTGTAATTGGAAGTCGAAGAGGGACTGCACGTGCCACGTCTCCAACCGTTCATCATCTTTGGATGAAGGTCACTGGGCCGAAGTTGGACATCCATTAGGATCCCATATATATAAACCAACAGACAGCAACTTCCATGTGCTTACTTTCGTCTTCCAAGAGCCCAACACCAACCATATGATTTTGAGTTTCACGATTTGTGCCCAAAGTCAACGCTGCCGAGTACCAACCTGGAAACGTTTCAAAAGGTCGCAGTACAACTTACTCCACTAGTAGAATACGACAGCCCAAGCAGTGATCGCTACGTATCTAGCCAGCACTACCGCTGTAAGCGTGTCCGTTTCGCAGACGTCACCGTGCTGGCGGACCCTCCACTTCTAGGCCCTACGTAGCTCTGGCCAAGTCTTTCATCTCCAGTCCAGCTGTCCACGGCGCGCAGTGTCGACCTGTCTCCGTGTCGCTGCCGTCCTGGTCCACGACGGGATCCACGAATGTCCACAGCGACCATCTTTCTTAATGACGGCGGCTTTGGGACGTTGCTATTCAACAGGCCACTGAGGCCATATCCAAAACCACATCTTCCATTCTCACCCTCTTTTTCGTCCCTTTAACTTTCGCCATCCCTGGCCAATCTTTCATTCGGGGAGCTACCCGTAATTACAAGCGCAGCAACCTCCGAGCCTCCGTCAAACAGCCCTACAAGCGATCCTTTCTCTGCGACAGATCCGAACCCTTCTTTATCTTGACCTCACCTCGATCCTTTTCCTCAACAAATACGACAGCCTGCGACAAGAAACCACGGCTTAAATAGCTCGACGACAACACCGTCCCTTAACACACAAGCAACATGGTCTCCCTATGGCCATGGAAGGTATGCGCCCAACTCACTCAGGCTGCGAGGAGGGGTGACCCCCAGTGATGATCCAGCTGACACCAACGTAAACAGAAGGAGGATTCCTCTCCGGCTTCGTTCGAAAAGGCCCTATCGGCGCTCTCAGGAAGAATCACAGTCACGCAGACAAGACTTGATAATGTCCGATCGACCGCACGACGAGTAAAGGTCCTTGCGACCCTCTACCTCGGTTTCGCCTACCTCGTCTACGCCATCGTAGCGCTTCTCGTCATCGGCTACCAAAACATGGGTCCACTGGAATGGACAGGAATGGCCGGCGGGCCCGTTGTTATCTACCTCGTTCGCACTCTCTCGACTATGTTCTTCGACTACCGGATCAGCGGCCTCAATGCGAAACTCGAGTTCCTTCAAACCGAGCGAGCCAAGACCATTCAGAAACTCAAGGAAGCGACCCGGTACGACTCCACCCTCGAATTGCTCGAAAAGTACGGCGGGCCGGAGAACAAGCTCAGGAGGCGTGCCAGTAAGAAGGGGGGTGACGACGACAACGACGAGGATGGCGCACAAAGGTCCAAGAAGTCACAAGGCAGACATGTAAACCGCACCCACATCGCGCCGCCTCCCACTGCCAACATCCAGCGCCCTCCTCGCCCTGGCGCCGTCGGTCCCAACATGCCTCAACCCGGTGCTCGTGGCCACCAACTAGCTCCCTCTCCCATGCCTCCCCAGGGTCCGGAGCCGTCCGCCGAGTTTGCCCCCAACGCTTTCGATGTCAACCCTCGCGCCTCTCCCTCTCACCCGCACGTCCAGTATCCACCCGCCGCGGCTGCCATGGCGGCGCCCACGGAATCACACTGGTACGACCGCATTCTCGACACGCTCATTGGCGAAGACGAGACCGCGGCCAAGAACAGGATCGTCCTCATCTGCAAGAAGTGCCGGTTGGTCAACGGACAGGCCCCTCCCGGGACGAAGAGCCTGTCGGAGATCGGCATGTGGAAGTGCATGTCGTGCGGGGCTGCCAACGGCGAGATGGACGAGGGAAAAAGGATCGTGAGGGAGGTTATTGGTGGCGGCAGGAGCGAAGAATCTCTTGTCCACTCCCACTCTGGTGACGATGCGACAAGCTTGGGCAGTTTCGGAGAGGAGTTTGCGGATGAGGAGTTGGTGGAACGTAGCGAGGCTGCGGAGAGTGACAAGGCGCAGGAGCGTCCTGAAAAGAGGCTGAAGATGGACGGCAGCAGGTGAAGGCAGTCAACTATGTAGGAGGACTGCACGCTGCTCACTATTCCTTTGTGTCATTTCGGTTTTCGTTCATCACATCGCTGGCGGTTTTTGGTTGGTTCTAAGCTAAGTTTTCATCTTTTGGGAGGTCTTGTGTTGGTACCGCGCGCTATCTGGTATCTCGTTCCATAAAAGCATCTGGGGCTGGAGTCTAGCGGAGAATCGAAACTGCTTTAAAGTTAACATGAGTTCTCGGATTTGCCTTCCTGCTCTTTCTTGTTCATAGACTCAAATGGGATTGCTAGCAACTGCCAGCCTGTGAACTTTGACTGCAAGAAAACAATGGAAACAATCTAAGCTATGGACAGTTCTGACACGATACTCGTCACATATGAGTTAGGGAGACCAAAAGAGATCTTTGGGGCACAGTCGTATGTTCTTTAACTTGAGAGGTTTCTGGTCATAATGGGCTTATTTGTTACGCAGCCACATCCAGCCTGTTCTTTACACATTCGCTGTCATTGAAGAATTTTCATTCACGAGGATTCTCGTTGTTGCCTCGTTCACCCTGGGATCTTCTCAACACTCAAACGTGGCATGTGGAACAATGGCGATATTCACCTATCACTTGAGATATACGAGACGAGAAGATACGGCTTCACATACCACATTCAAAATGTATTTGAACGGACAACTATTGCCAACAACATGTAGATAGTTTCATATACCTGCCTTCTCCATCCACAGAAGCCTCGTCGGCAAGCGAGGCGGAAATTCTCTTTTCAACCTCTTCTCAACCTCTTCTCAACCTCTTCTCAACCTCTTCTCAACCTCTTCTCAACCTCTTCTCAACCTCTTCTCAACCTCTTATTTACTATCATCCCGCACCCGCGCAAGAAGACATAACAGTCCAATAACCAAAACCGCAATCATGCCTTCCCTCCCTAAAGACATTACACCCCTTTACACTCCCTCGACCTTCACCCTCCCTTTGCGTCCCCGTCCTGATGGGAGCAGTACTAGTAATAGTGGTGGTCACTACCAAACCCTCATCCAACAACTCTCCAGCCTCACAATCGATGACTACCAAGAAACTCCCCAAGGAGACCGTCATGTTGAGACTCGCCGACATTCAGAGCAGCGAGTTGTCCAAACGACGACAACTACAACAATGACAAGCACAACCACGACCTCTTTCCCGAGTGTTGCGAAGCCCAGGGACAGGGACAGGCTTCTCAGCTCTGGTTCTTGTTCTGGTTCAATGGTCAGATTCCCTTCTGCTACAACAGATACCTCCACTTCCATGTTCAATTCGGGTTTATCCCCGAATTCCAGTTCTTGGACAACGATGACGAGCCCAACCCGTCACTTGGGCGTTCCTCGATCGGTCTCTAGATCGGTCTCTGGGTCGGGAACAGGGTCGGTATATAGTAGTATATCGGAAGTGTCTGGATCCGGATCCGGATCAAGATTTGGAGGGGCAGAGCCAGAGCCTTCTCCTCCAAGTCAGAGATACTTGCGAACAAGAAGGGGCGCCGTCTCAGGCCCTAGTTTCCCTGGTCCTGATCATGAGTCCTTGAGTCCAGCAGCTTCTCTGGGTTCACGTTCATCTTGGTGTTCTTCGGGTGAACTCATGCCTGGTAGGGACTACAGAGCACCTGCTCGGCAGCAGCAGCTATTGTTGCCTGCGCCGTCTTCAAGGGCTTCGGGCTCTTTTGCTTCTGGTCCAGGTTTTGCTTCTGGCTCAATGATGGGTAGCGATATTGCCGGAAGTAGAGCAGGTAGCACCACTACAGCTACGACTCACCGGCTGAACCAAAATAGACTCCGTCTTTCTCCTTCCAAGTGCAGAGCAAACAGCGACCATAACCGCAACGGCTCTCAGATAATCACGGATCCAGCAGACTTTCCCCTCCCGTCATCATCATCTTTATCCGAGGCAGGCAGCAGCAGTAGCAGCAGACGCACCGTCCGTCCAACAAGCCTATACAACTCGCCAATACCACCGTCGGCATCCTCACGTGTTTGTAGCAGCATCTCATCGCATAACCCTCGAGTCAGAACCGGAGAAATCACACCCGACGATTCCATCTCTCAGATCGGATTATCTACCCCTGCTTCCACCTTGGGTTCAGCGGTAAGGAGACGTGAAGGAAACAACGATCCTCGCTAAGTCTCCCCGTCCGAAGCTTACCTCTACAGGGTGTCCGACATGTCTCTCCCTCTGAGGTTGGTTTATCGTCGCCGCAGGTTCGCCCACAACAAGGGGAGGATCGCTGGATTTTACCGTCGAGTACTCCGGGCAGGTTTGGACCTCCGCCGCCTTCGGGGGCCGGAGATGGGTGGCCGAGGGGTTCTTCCCTAAGGGATTATCGCTAGGTCGTTGAAGGAAGTGGGAAAATCCCGGCTAGGTAGTGGGTGCATGGTCTCGGGTCGGTGGTTGGTGTAGGTTGTTAGCAGTTGGGGAGGGGGGGAGATCGTGGGGTGGGATGCGGGCAACATAGGTAATCCTTTAGGTGGTTTGCCTCTCGTGGTGATTTCAACAGCGATGATAATAAATTCGTTAGTACATGGCAATTGAAGATATTAGCGGCAATGAAACTGATGATGATGTGGTCAGGTGAATAACCGAATGGCATGCCTTCTTTCGTGAGCTGAGGTGTATCGTAGCATCCGTTATTGATGGTGAGATGAGAAGACGTTGTTGGCTGACGTTGGCAAATGTTGGATTGAAGTCCATGAAGCACCAGCGGCTATCGCTCACTAACAGCCATACTCTTTTTCACCACGCAATTACGTTAATGTCAGATATGGCCCTGTTTGGAAAGGTGCAGCTGCATGAAACCCCCACACTAAACTCTTTTCCAGACACACTGCGACTGTGCGAGACGCCGAGTGGTCATCATCACGTTGGTTGACGAGCCTCCTCTCTTGGACGGAACGAGTTAGCCAAGGTGGTAAGAGGGGTTTCTGAAAGCGGGGAGTGATGATGCCTCATGACCTTTGGGTTTCGGATTGACTTTTGGATTCATTTCCAAAGTCTCGACAATCGCGGCAAGTCGCCCCCCTCGCTCCATTTGTCGGATGATGGATGACCCCAATCCAACCGACGACAATGCTCGGGCCGCAAAGCATCGCCGCTCTGCTCTGGACGTTTCAATCGACATCGTCAACCCTGGGCCAGCACATGCACTGTACCGCGACTCGGCATGCCGTGTTCCTTTGCAGCTCTGGTCTCTGGTACAGACTGGCCCTATCTTTGCAACGGTTATCTTTTGGGCTTCAGAAAGAAAAGAAGAAGGAGAGGAGGGCCCGATCCGATCCATGTTCAAACAAATACCGTGCACGGCACCTCCGAACAGTTACTTGCAGTTGAAAAGGAGGGAGGGGGCTTTGTTTACATTGGATGTTTTGGTTGGAGGAGGGAGCACGGAGGGGTCGATCTGGCTCGCTTGCTTGGAGCTGGAAAGCGGGTGAAGCTGACCTGTCGCAAACTCCCGCTCCGTCATTACCTGAAACCAGGCCGTAACTTTGACCACTTTGTGAGGACCTCACTGGGCCTGTATCGTTTCACCACGTCAGCCAGTTCATCGGTTCCGTTCAACTTCCCTCCACGATTCCTTCCCAACTGCGACTTCAACGGTACCGCAGTACTTTCCATGCTAGCTTGCATGCCGAAGGAAAGCGCCGAATCAGAAGCCTCCCCCTCCATTCCTTCCAACATGGAGCAGGTCTCCGTCCTGAATGGCACCTGCCATCTGCATTCCCAATTCGAGATCATCACAGGGAAGGAGGAGCCGTGGACAGTACCTAAAGTTGGAAGCTACCCCCACCTATTCTTACCTTCCACCTTTTGCCTCAGGCTCTCCAGCTTCTTCTCTTTCTTCTTCCCATTCCTTCCTTCAGTCTGTCCTCCTTCTCGTCGCTTCTAAGATCACTCCCTCCTCTTCACAGCCGAGACTTGTGCAACACAACTTTACTACGTACTTACTTCCCTGCAGGCTCCTCCTCTTCCAACGCTCTCTTCAAGTTGTAAGACATCCTTGCCAGTCGACCTCAATCTCCGGCTGTGTTCTTGTTCGCATTGTCGCACAAGTATCGACCCAGACCCATTGTTCCTCTTCCCGTTCTCGCTAGATCATCTTCACCTTGAGCTGTCAGCTACTTGGCACCATGATGTTCACAGCTGTCTGACTGACTGCCACTCAGGCGTCGACAGCACTCACGATCTACACCAACTCAAATCTTTGCTTCCTGCCTCCAGTATGCTTATCACAGACCGTCACTAAATAACTCTCGAACACCCAGCTCATGCGTTGCCAGGTGCTATAACCACATCAGAAGGCCAACATGGACAGATACGCAGAGACCACCGTCACTACCGAATACGACTCTGCGGACAGTGATGCCAGCTATCCCACTGTTGACCTTGAGGGGTACCACGAGCATGATCAACATGGTAGCCGTAGGAGGCGCCCCGATGTACCGAGAAGTGGAAGGAAGGCTTTTAAGGAGCCCAGCCCCCACCGGAGAAGGTCGCCCAGGAGTAAGCTCCGTGGCAGGATGCATTGTGGCTGCGGTGCTGAAGCCGTGGTGGAACTGTCTGTCGACGACACTCTGGATTCCGAGAGTGATAAAGCCAGAGAGTACGACCGCGAGGGCAAACATTCACGCTCTTACACATGTCATCACACGCGACAGGCTTCGATGACCACGGAAAGGCCTAAAAGATCAGTTTCGAGGGAGGCCGAACCCAAAGTCAACAAAAAGGGTAAAACGCCCAAGAGGGCAGCAGATCCGTACATTGAAGAATACCCGGACGAACCAAACCAACCTGTGACACCTGTACTGGATCACAAGGTCCGTGATCGACGATTCTCGACAACTGAGTCCAAGAGGTCTTCTCGCGAAATGGAAGAGCCGTCACCAACAATCTCGGCTCGTTCACGGGCTGGAACCATCACCTCTGACTCAAAGAGAATGTCACGAGAAATGGGTGAACCTGCTATTCCTGTCCAAACTCGTCACCAGCGTGGCCCTTCGATCTCCGACACAAGAAGACTCTCTCGGGATGTGGAAGGACAGCTGCGTTCCGCTTCCAGGCGCCCTCAGCGTGGAACCTCAAGATCAGACACTAAAAGGTTATCACGGGAACTGGAGGATCGTGGCGGCTCAACCGTGTCCAGTCGCTCCCGAGGTGGCTCTTTGACCTCTGATACAACAAGGTTTTCGCGAGATATCGAAGATCATGTGTCATCTGTCTCCGGTCGTTACCAAAGAGGTACCCCCGTCGCTGAGAAGCGCCGATCTGAAGGCGGTTCATCCGTGTCGTCCAGACTCTCGAGGCAAACCGCCATGTCAACTGCAACTCCTCAGGATCACCCGAGGAGATATTCTGAGCTTCCTGATCGACGCCGTTTTGTTGGTAAGCAGGGAGCAGATCAAGATATCATCGTGTTATGGCCCGGTTAACTGATTTATGAAAATAGATCAACTTTCGGATTCTGAGCAGGAAAGCACAATATCGAAGCGTACTGATTCCACCATAGGCCGCTCGCAATATGAATCGTCAGCGAGAGATGTACCCAGAAGTATGGCTCGAAGGGGCTCCTCAAGAGCTGGGCACCCTTCTCTCCAATATTCGTCAACCTGGCCCATGCGAGCACCAGCACTTCACCCAGATGACGATCAGTCCTCTCATGGGCGTCACTACGACAGCACCGAAGACAGCGATTATGACTTCATCAACGACCCGCGATTTGATCCTGTTACCCACCGGATGATTCGACCAAGCGCGCCTTCACCACCTCGCGCCCCTACCCCTCCTAATCTTAGCACTGACGATGAGCCCGAGATCAATGAGTATCCAAGAAGATCACGGGCGCCGCGGGAAACCAAGGAGTCCAGAGGCCCGAAACTGAAAACAATTCTCAGCAAGACCAGCCTTCACGCCCTGAACAACGAAGCTCGAACGTCCACCGCTACTGATCTTTGTGAAGTCTGGAGAGCTCATCCGGAGGACTGGGAGTCCCCTTACTCTTCCGTTCACCTTGGAAATGCGGGTGATGAGAGACCGGAATCTAACAA